CTGAAGGGGAGAGATGGATAGGCCATGTTGATCATCACGCTCCTCAGCCTCCCCCGCCCCCCGCACTATTGCTGTGAAAAAGCCAACTGTTGCCAACTGTTACGGTACCTTGGTGCTAGCAGCTATCGGTATATCCCTTGCAGCTGACCAGACAGTCATCAAGGTCGTCGCGACTTACTTGCTTCGGTCCCCCACGCGTCCCGGGGATGCATGCCGCCGGAAGTGCTGAACCACCGCCACCATGCAGCCCCATGCATGCTCACCCTCTGTGTACAATTGCCCCTCCGGATGCGGAACACACAGGGACGCCCGAGAAGCCCAAGTGGGGCTTCGTCACCCACATCTATCCCCGGCAGCGAGCTCCTTGTCGCGCTCAATACCGTCCGCCGCAGCACCCACCGGCAGTATGTGGATACCAGCGTGAACGCCACCAACAACGTCATTGTCATATTCCACTACCTCACATCCTACACACCCGTGGGGGTTGCTAGCTTCGAGTGTGTGGGCGGCTGCAGCTGCAACAGCGAGCCAGCGGATGCATGGACACCCACGCACGGATCACACCACTCACACATGCATGGAATTGTGGCTTCGCAATCGCCAGAGTGTCTTGTGAGCATTAAGGTTCTGGATGTACCGAACAGGAGTGGGCATAAGTTCAAGGTAGGTAACGGCGGGGTCATCTAAAGGGGCGTTTATGAAGGGACACGGGTTTTCTGGGTGTGCGAGCTGGTGCGAGGGTTAATAAATGGGGCACGCAAGTATTGATGATGTCACCGTGAATGTTGGTGATGACATCGGTGGCATTGGTTCTTATCGGCCTGCTGTATGTCCCAAGCATTGGGTGCTACGCATGGAATGCGTTGCTGTGTATGCAGAAGCCTGCTTTGCTTCCCAGCATTCTTATTGTTCCCCTAAAGTGCCCTGTTGCTCATGCGCTTCACCTTGGCTGCATTTGAGCAAGTGCATTCCCCCCTCTGACGGTTCTCGCGGACAGGCTTTCAACCAATCAACAACCCCCCCCCCGCCCCCTCCCTGGCTCCCATCCTCCCCCCGCGTATCACCCACGACATTACACCCGCATGCATGCATGCAGGTCGTCAACGGGGAAGGGAGATCGTCACGAGGGAGGGCGGCTGCGTGCAACTTGGTGGTCGGCGCTGCTAAGTCTTCCGTAGCTTCCACTGCATGCGGTACACATCCACCACGCATCCGGCAATCACAGTACCTCTATGTTCCGACTCGTCTGGACTCGTGGCACGTTTACTAAACCCACACATTCAGGAGGAGGGAACACAGCAACGCCCTGACTATGCCGGCATTGAGGAGGCAGGCCAGCAGGATGCCGTGTCCAGGGAGCCGCTGCAATAATGACAGCCTAGCGGAAACCGGAGGGCGCAGTTAACTACCGGTACGAATTCGCCCTTCGTTGACACGCTGCAGTACAGTGGCTTTTGGCGGCTGCGGCGGCTGATGCATGTAATGCTGGTAGATAGAGGAGGCGACAACAGTGATGATGCTGGATGCTTCAGTACAGCTTTTGCCTGTGGCAATACCGGTTACTCATGCGCACCTTCCAGTGGCCTCCGGCGCTGCCGCTAGCGGTCGGGGGTGGCCCAAGCAGCCCGGAACCAGGCAGTGGCGGTGGTGGGGGGTGGGAGAGGAGGAGGAGGAGGCGATGCTGGTGCTTTGGCGTGCCTGTTGCTTCTCATGTGCGTGTATGTGTATGTGCAGTTTGGAGCTGTCATGCCCTGCTGTTACTGAATTGGTGGCTATCCTGGACGCGACTCTACCCATCCCTAAGCGGCATTCCCCAAAGCCATGGTGGACGGCATGGGGCTTCACTGTCTAGCGTGATACACGCACGGTCAGTTTCTGCGGCTAGTTTGACGATCAGAGCTGCACCGCATGCATGTGTGGTGGGGCCGTTGCATGTGCCGGTATGTGTTTCCTTAGCAAGCTGGGAACTGGGCCTAAGGTGAAGGCTCATGCTCGGTTACGGGTACCCTGGTCGCGTTGCCTAATCAGGAGGCTCGCCAGTTTGCAGTACTGCTGAGCTGCAAGACACGGGTGCAACGTGCAAGAATCATGCACTGAGGTTTGGGTGCGCATACATACGCCACGCATGTAGATGTGCATGCATGCATGCATGCAATGGGACGGAGGTTCTACTGCAACCTGCTGCAACGCGCAGATTTTGGCAATCAAGAAATAATCCTGCAGCCACAACCCGGCACGTGGTCAAGCGCGTTACAAGTTCTGCTGCTAGTAAACTGTTAAAGCGGCAAACGTCCAGCTCAGCAACAAGATAGACATATAAGAAAAAAGAACCTTCGTCACAAAGGACAGGAGTTAACACCGGGTAGGACACTACTGTTATTAGTAAAAGGTAGGATTACGATGTTTGCCCGTACGGCAACTCATGACCGTCGTGTAATGGCACACCGATCCTTTCGCTGTTACAAAAGTCAAGGACACCAAAAGCATAATATAAGGCCACCATCGAGATAGAGGCCGTAGGATGCAACGGGGCGACGTCGTGAGACAAAGACGCAACCAGACACATCCCTTCTCCTCCATAAATAAATGACCGTACAAGGGTCCCCTAAAAGGGAACACAGGTGATGAACCCAACCATACCCATTTTGCAGAGGCCAACAAACTCATGCAAACCGTTGTTACTAGAATTACCAAGACAAGACGGCTTAGATTTTTACCAACACAACTCACCAATGACGTGAAGCCATCAACTCCGCCATGAATGAAGAACAGTGCAAGCTTTGTAGATGACGAGAAGGCAAACAAACGATTAAAACTGGACGGACAGTTGTGCATTAATCGCAAAAAAGATACGGCAAAGGGCATCCACCACCATACACGTACTCTCTACAACGTTCATACACAAAAGACGTATCCTCTACAACGTTCATACACAAAAGATGTTGTAGCCTGCCATTAGCGAATTGATAGTGAAGATCGAGATGCTGTCGATTGCAATGGTGATTATTATCATTCTGGCCATGGAGGCAGGAAAGGCCACTCTGGTAAGAAACACGTCCCTGAGCTGCTACGTTTGCCGTAGACAGGTAGAAAAGAGGTACGGCAACTGCTGCATGTCATTATTGAGCCAGACCATTAAAGAGCTTGTGTCAGCTCGTGTCAGCCCAAGGCATCACATCAGAAAATACCAAATCACGATAACATGAATGTCTCAGTCAGCAGCAGTCAGGTTTGGGGCCATGAATGCATGTCCCCATCTTCAAACAACCACAAGCCCGACGGAAGCAAGGTGCGGCAGGTCTGCCTTGCCGGCATGGACGGCCCCCATGTTGATGTTGATACGTACGGCAATTACGTCAGCCGTGTTAAATCCTGAAGACGTCATTCCAACTGGCAGTTGCAAAGCCGTTGGGGCGGGAACGGCAAAGTGGTTGGCTCCAGGGCACGCCAGCTCCTCTTTCTGGCCCGAGCTGATGTCGTATATCGTCACCCAATAGGTTACCGCCTGTTAGCGTTGCGCGGGTGGAGGGAGAAAGGAAACCGTTGGAAGGCATTCGCGGTGGGGGGCTTTACCGTTACCCAACCGATTCGTCGTTGAGATTGAGGGCAGCAAGCTACCGTATACTCTGGCCTGTAAATAGCAAAGGATAATGCTTTTGAAGTAAAGCGCAAGCCAAATTCTGGCCTGGACTTGTAGCCAAGCTGCATGTTACGAGCAATTCATGCAACTTCCTGCAGAACCCTGCCAGCTAGCCGCCCGCCCATAGACAGTACACCGTACTTCCAACCCTTCACGGTTACGTTTACGCTTTCCCGCCCCAACCACCCATCCACTCTGGCCGGTTGGGTGCTTGCTCTATTGCACTTCCATCCACACGCCCTGCCCTGCCCAGCCCCTGGGGAACCGCAGCCCTTCCCCGCCGCACCTCCCGTTTGGCATTGTAGGTCCTCAGTTGCAGGGCAATGGAGGTAATGGGGGGGTCCAGAATGCCCTTGTTCATGACATACACCACAACGGCATACACCTGCCCGCCCGTGGCTGCCGGGGTCTGGTTGAAGTAGGCTGTTGCGAAACGGGAGCCCTGGGGAGCCACAAAGATGGGGCCGGGCAGGCAGGTGGGTGAGAAGAGAGAAACCAACCCATAAGGGGGGGCGCGGGTGGATTGCGGGGGTTGCCGCACTCGTCATCGTAAAGTCAATACCAACGAATACCGGCGGCACGTCCACGTGCACGTCCACGTGTAGAAATGGAGGGATTGGGGTGTAAACGTCAAACAAATAACGCACTGTAAGGGTGCAGCACATACGGTACAATCCCGTACGAGTAGCCTGGTAGGTCGCGCGGCCTTTAACAGCACAAACACTAGTGCCTGGTGCTAGCAGAGCATGTGCAGAGTGTTCCGGCGTTGCGAACATGTATGCGGGTGGGTGCTCTTTTATGCCCTACCGTTATCGGTGGAATCCAGCTGACGGCGCCTGCTGGGGCGCACTCCTGCGCTTTCAGCACCTTGGACTTGGGAGGTCCCGCCAAGTTGCCTGGACCGCCGAGCTGCTGGGGCTTGTTGCTGGCAGGGACGGCGTCGCCCTGCACGCACGCAGCAGGGGTGTGCGTATGATTGTCGGCAAGGGCATGCGCATTGAGCAGGCGCAGGGGCATGCGACCGGCCGGCACGCTTGGCGCGTTACGGGGACACGAACCTTGGAGCCGGCAGCGGAGGTTGCCCAGTAGACGGGTGACCGGGGTGGTGGAGAAGGGGGTGGCTGGGAGGGGGGAGGGGGTGGCTGGGAGGGGGGAGGGGGTGGCTGGGAGGGGGGAGGGGGGGAGGGCGGCGGCGGCGGGGAGGGGGGTGGCGGCGAAGGCGGTGGGGATGGGGGGGGAGGTGGGGAGGGCGCCGGCGGCGGGGAGGGGGGTGGCGACGAAGGTGGTGGCGATGTGGAAGGTGTAGGAGACGGCGACGTAACAGGAGGCGGCGAGGGATGAGGAGGAGGTGGTGAGGGAGGTGGTGAGGGAGGTGGTGAGGAAGAAAGAGGCGAATGTGGGTTTGGCGGCTGGGGCGAGGGCGATACGGTAGACGGGGTTTGGCTAGGTGGCGAAAGAGGGGACGGAATGATCTGGGGCGGAGGTGGAGGAGGAGGCGGACTGGGGCTGGGAGGTGGTGGAGAGGGCGAAGGAGGAGAAGGAGAAGGCGGGCTCGGGCTGGGTGGTGAGGGCGAGGGGGGAGAAGGAGACGGCGGGCTTGGGCTAGGTGGTGAGGGCGAAGGAGGAGAAGGAGAAGGCGGGCTTGGGCTAGGTGGTGAGGGCGAAGGAGGAGAAGGAGAAGGCGGGCTTGGGCTAGGTGGTGAGGGTGAGGGGGGAGAAGGAGAAGGCGGGCTTGGGCTAGGTGGTGAGGGTGAGGGGGGAGAAGGAGAAGGCGGGCTTGGGCTAGGTGGTGAGGGTGAGGGGGGAGAAGGAGAAGGCGGGCTTGGGCTGGGTGGTTGGGGCGGGGGAGACGTAGGGAGAAAGCCGCCGCCAGGATAACCCGCATAGCCTGCAGTAGTCAGCAAGCGTTACACAAGCGGTACGGCTAACGAGGTGAGCACTGCCACATGGATCATGCAGGGCCTAAGCAGGACCTAAAAGCAGCTAAAGCAAGAAGTGAGAAGCCAGGCATTCAACGGTCAGCCTAACGAGGGGGTCGCTGCTGCTCGCAAGCTAGCTCACCGGGGTCGGTATCTGCCAGGCAACGGTGCTTCATCTGGGGAGAGAGGCTCGAGAACTCCCGCGCTTGGCGCCGGTTAATCGCCATCCAATACGCAGAGACCTTCATTGCAACTAACTCGGCGGGATGCCAGGACTGCTTAATCTGCATTACCAGAATGCGTAACCGGGATGCGTTATCCGTTAGGAAACGTACGTACGGCACCATGGCGGCGGCGGCAACAAGGTGGTTCGTACGGTACGTCAGGCACAGTACGTTGCCGTACCTTGTCAACGGCGTCCGGCGGCAGACACTCGCTGACGCTCGAGGCTGCTGGCATGGCGGTGTAGGTGCCTGCGGGACAAGCCGTGCAGGCAGTAGGTCCGGCGGCGTAGCCAGCGGTGGTGCAGATGCGGCAGTAGCTGCTGCCAACGCGCTCCGCAACCCTGCGGGCGAGGCAGCAGGTACGGAGGTATGGATTTAGCAGCAGGTACGGAGGTATGGTTGTACGGATTTAGCAGCAGTATACAAAGGTTGGGTGGCTTGAAGCTGCAAAACAAAATTGAATCAGTCACGCGTCCTTGTTCATAAAGCATCATCAAGGCAACAGTAGGTGTAGGAGCCGCAGCCCTAATTTGTCATACATAATGAGCAGGCTAGCATCCAACACATCCAAGTCTCTCAAGTCATCAACTGGCAGCGCAAGGCATGTCACGATGTGCCGCTTCTTACCAGCCAGGCGAGCAGGGCGAGCAGGACTCGTCGTATCCCGTACTGAAGGTTCCGGGGGGGCAGCTCACGCAGGCGCCTCCTGACGCCGCACTGGGCGCTGAGCCCCGCGGGCAGGTAGGCTCGGCACCGCTCTCACGTGCAATGGCCCATCGGAGGGTGGAGATGACTTGCTCGATGGGCACGTCCGAGCCGGGGTCAAGCCAATAGGAGCGCGGCAACGGCACCATGTAGTACTTCTGCAAGGAAGGCAGCGGTGGCGAGGAGAGTGGAGCGAAGATTGCACCCGAACAGGCAGTAGAGCTACAAGCCGGCAAACCTGGAGCTGGAAACTATCGGTCCAGGAAGGCAGTTGTAGTACTCAACTACCGATAGCTGCAGTGTGCCAGCAGAACCCGCCCGCGAAAAGAATGATGGGACACGCAAGTCGGGGCGTGCCCACCTGCTTCAGCGCACGAGTCATGTGCCAGAGGTCCATGCCGGTGTTGTTAAAGAACATGAGCTCGATCAGGGCGGTACCCGGCGGGGCGAACATCAAGTGCGCCAAGCCAGCACCGTTGAGGCCCATGACAAACTGCGGTGTTGAGCAGAAGAGGAAGGAAGAATGGGTCAGGATAGAGTTTTTAGCCAGAGGTAGGACTCCACAACGCACATGGGCAGTGTCCTCATGGTGCGGTGTAAAGGAGCGCAACTGACCGGCAATGCCGGTTTACCTAGCATGCAGTAACGTCGGCACAATTCCCAATCCAACGAACCTTAGCGCGGCGGAAGAGCTCAATGTTGTCCTCGTTGGTCTCATTGCCGTTGTGTATCGCGAATTTCAAACCGTGCAACGCTGCCTGGGTACGGAGAGCCTCCAGCAGGGCCTCCTCATTGGTCACCTTGCGGTCGCCAGCCAGGAGACGCGATACGTAGATGAGGTGATCATGTTGGCTCGCAGGCAGCGGCGGAGGAAACTCCAACTCGGCCAAAAGCTACATACATGGAGTTGGGTCGGAAGAGGCGGGTCGACTTTAGATCTCCGAGGGCCACCCAATGCGACTATATCTTTACTTATAAGGTTTGTTAGGTCATACCTTGTTGAAATCCTCTCTCGGGGTGCGGGAAACTTCCACAGGGTTGGTGAAAATAAGCTCATCAGCGTGGTAGGCAAACATCGGGTCGAACGTAACCTGCACACATCCCCGTTGATCGCTGATTAGTACAAGACTGTGTACGAAGTACTTGAGCCGCTATCCAGGAAGTCATGAAAAAAGGAACGACCCACCATTTGGCTTTCCCTGATGCCGAGCTTCTTAATCCAAGCGAGCTCCCAGGGGCTGCCAAATCTCAGGAGCTTCAGCTCAGGATCAGACTTCAGGATCGGAGCTAACTTGGCAATCTTCGGAAGTCCCTCTACGAACGGTAAAACGGTTAGTCAACGAGTACGGGTACAAGCCGTAGGAGCTTCTCCATATACGACTTACCCGTCATGAAGTGCCAGTACATAAAGGAAACGCGGTGGATTGCGGTGGCAAGGCGCTTGTAGTGCTTAACCCCATAGGACTCGGCCTCGTCCTTCCAGGACTGTTTTACGGTAGGGTTTGGGGAAAACTTAAAAAGACAAAACAATTGCGAGTAGCGAACAGATTACAGAAATGTATATAAGAACATAGAAACAATAGTCCAGTAGCATATAGGATGCTAGGGAGCTTAGGTGCTCTTCACACTGGAGGCCAAAAGTGATGAAGCTGTAACCTTTAAGGCGTTTGGGCTACGGAAATCAAAAAAGGTTTCAGATTCAGTTCTCTGCTTTTGGAAGTAGAGATACGAAGCAAAAAGTCCAAAACGAAGCTAGAAGTGGCTTCGCCCTAAGGAACCACCATCGCTACTCCCAAAATGCCGTATTGCAGTATTATGATGCAGGCATAATACCCGATATCAGTTCTGAGCTGGTTCCCTTCTTGCTTTCACCTTTGGGTGGAAGCTACTTACGTGATTTGACATTATAGAAGCGCAAGACTATCTTTCTTTCTGTTTATCGCTTTGTGCTCGCGATCCATGAGCCTTCTGGCTCGGACGGATCCTACGAGCTCGGTACGAAGCTTGTAACACATCACAATGTGAACGGAGACGCTGGTTGTTTTCGCGTTTTGTGCTCGCGATCCATGAGCCTTCTGGCTCGGACGGATCTTACGAGCTCGGTACGAAGCTTGTAACACATACATACATACATACAACGGAGACGCTGTTTTTTTGCTACGACATAGAAGCCTTATCTCACCCTATGTAAAGGGCCCCTTACAGTACAGGAAGCCTACCTTCAGCTTGTCATATGGATGCCGCATCCGGGTACTTGTGCGGTATAAGCGGCCAGCAGAGTCCCAAATGTCGCCCTCAGTTCCAGCGACAGTGGCGTTCTGAAGCGCTGCAACGTACTGCATCGTGCACGTTAGTCCGAAAGGGGTTACTTTGCATTGCACTTCGCTCTGTGTTACTAGGACATACCTGCTGCTCGGAAGGTGGCTCATACGGATTGTCTCCGACAGGGTTGAAATGAACCTGTGGAAAAAAGCAAAGCTCAGACAAGCTTGTTGCGACCAGTTTCATTCCGAGTAACGTCCCGATACGCACATTCAGATAACCCTGAGCTCTAAACTCTTGGAGGTGCTGTGGGTCCAGAACCAAAGGCGGCTCCCTGTTAAAGTGGGTGTACTTGTCCCCAAGCGTTAACAGCCGAAAGCCATCATCAGTGGGATGAGACTGGAGTAGGTCTTGGTACTCTACCATTTCCGCTGTAACAGCCGAAATGAGCAGGACACAAATTGCAGCTATGTGTTGAGGTCGCATTTTGGCCATCTGTCTTTTCACTACTTCACAAGCGAAACGCGCAACGACCGCCGGGCAAATTGGCGTTAAAAGAAGTCCGCGATGCGGCACTATAACGGGCCCTCAGACGCCGACCTGCATAATAGCGGACCCAATGCATGTATGTGCCTCCAGCTTATATTAAATGTTATTGAGGCCTCGAAGTACGGCGGTCTCGGTTTTCCGTACTCGACAGTTATCATCAGGACAATTGCGCCCCGTACGGAAATTCGCCCTTGCACGTGGACATGTGCTAACAAACCCACATCTCAAAAAAGTTGTGCCATCCGTACGCTCGTAAGTCGCGAGGACAGAGAATTGCCGTACAAAAAGAGCTTTGCTTTGGAGTTGTGACTTGCGCGCTTGTGAAGAAGTAACTGCCGCTGTTGCAAATCATTGGGCAATATAACATTTAGTTTTGGGTCCAGTAGTATGGCCTATCAGCCCTCTAATGCGCGGTCCACCTGCCCCAGGGATTGGGCAAGGGACAGGCTGTGCTCGCGATTCTCTATTAATGGGCAGTGCCAATAATTGATATAATTCGCACCACCAAGTACGCTGCCATTTGGGCCACTCCCGGCCCGGGCAAGGGCATCGAGGTGCGCAAGCAGGTCGCGATGTGGCGCCTCATCCGCGAGCCCGAGCGCCCAGCTGCATGACATCCTGGCAATCTTCACCTACGGCGACAACGAGGCCTCGTTTAGCCCACGACACGTGTACAGCGGGCTGACCTACATACCCAAGCCGGGATCAGACTTGCCGGGTCCGCACAATCACAGTTCTAGGTTCTTCTAATGCACACCACGGAGCCGAAATGACGTGGGACTTATTACGAACCCCCCCCCCTCGACTAATCCTGGGTGTATACGGGGGGTCTTTCCTTCTTCCCCCCAGACGTAGGGGTGGTTACCCGCACGTTAGTTGAGGATGAGTCTGGGTGCTGGTTGTTGTGTGATGTGGCCTGCATGTTGTTGTTCTTTCGGCTGGCGCACAAGCAGCACACAGCCGTAACCTGCAAAGTTTTGTCATTACGGAGCCTGCAAACCTATGCTGGGTACTTCTAGCCACCAAGTTCTGACGTCGTTCCTTGGTCGGCTTCTCTCATCATCGTCGCATTGTCATTAACGTGTGTGTGTGTGCCCCTTTGGACAATGCGCACAACGTTACAAGTGGGGGTTGCGCGGTATGTGGAAGCTGAGGTGTTAAACAGGTTCGTAAACCCTTTGCAAAAGCCCTAGGAACACATAGCGAAGTCTCCCACGGTAGAGCACTTTGCAATTACCGCTTTCCGGCCCATGTGCGTCAAGAATAGCCACATGCATTGTGCCTGTGCAATCAACGCTAGCTGTTCGCTTTTCGATAGGCAGCAGCAACGGACGCCCATCCGTCAACCGTGCACACTTACACACAAGGGGCGATGGGGCCGAGTAAAGCGGGGGTACACATATGTGTATGTGGGCTAAATGGGACGAGGGGACGTGTAATGTAAGAGTGCTTGCATGCATGCGTGTCTGATTTGCACGGGGCGAGGGGGCGAGGAATGAGGGAGTGCTTGCATGCATGCGCGTCTGAGTTGCATGGGGCGATGGGGCGCGTGAAGCAGGATTGCGTGTATGCAGGTTGCACGGGGCAAGGGGGCGAGTACTGTGGGAGGGCCGGCATGCGTTCGTGCTTGGGTTGCATGGAGTGAGGGGGCGAGTACAGCGGGGGTGCTTGGGGCGCCCCTCTACATGGCGGGGTCTCCCACGGTAGAGCACTTTGCAATTACCGCTTTCCGGCCCCTGTGCGTCAAGAACAGCCACATGCAGTGTGCTTGTGCAATCAACGCTAGCTGTTCGCTTTTGGATGGGCAGCAGCAACGGACGCCCATCCGTCAACCATGCACACCTACACATGGCGGGGTCTCCCACGGTAGAGCACGTTGCAATTACCGCTTTCCGGCCCATGTGCGTCAAGAACAGCCACATGCAGTGTGCTTGTGCAATCAACACTGTTCGCATTTCGATAGGCAGCAGCAACGGGCGCCCATCCGTCAACCGTGCACACCTACACATTGCGGGGTCTTCCACGGTTGAGCACGTTGCAATTACCGCTTTCCGGCCCATGTGTATGTGTAACAATTGCGCATGGCATATGTGCAGCTGTTGCTGCTCTTTTCTCCATTGCGAGTCAGCAACATCTATGCCAGAGGCGATTGGCATGCACCAGGAAGCTTTGCTTTGAAGGTCATTGTATACTGCGCACGGTTCTGTATGTAGGAGCCTTTCATAAAAGTGCCTTCACGGCCGCGTGCGTCCGCTATGCATTTCCCAGACACTAACGAACAACCCACTTGCTTCGTTTTGTAACTGTGCATGATTTCCTTGCCCACACGTATGACGACTGGTAAACATGTGTTGAATATGTTGTGAGATAAACGCATTGCAGCGTACAAGTGGAGTTTACTATCCACTGAAACTCGTGACGACTATATTCATGGGTCACAGAATCACCTGCAGTACAGCAGCTCTCATATCCTTGTCTTTAGACATACTCTCTTGAAGAAACTGTTGGCTTGGGGGTGCAGTGTTGGCGACCATGGTCGGGACCCATTTGCCAAAGTGCAAGCAGACGTCGCACAGCCGGCGCTGCTCAATATGCTTATGTCCAGTGTAAGGGCGGGGGGGCGGGCAGTGTCCATTTTTGCAACCGAGGCGAACCGTCCAAAGAGCAGCAATTGCGTTTGTAGCCGCTGGGGCGTGGGATAGCTACTACACCGCACCAGCGAATTCCGGATACACCACGTAGGCAAAGGGTGGTTTTCTTTCCCTCACTGGCGCGCGTTTAGCAGCCGAATACTGGATTCCAATTCCTGATAACACCTCGGGGGGGATCAGCACAAGGACGTGTAAGGTAGAGTAGCCGGCAAGTGTGTCCAAAAGTCATGTTTTTCTCAAAAAAACCAAAAAAACGTCCCACAACGCAACAGCATCAGCAAACGCCTTCCCATGCGCCCAACTACGGATGCAGTCACAGACTCATCACACCACCACCTCCATGTCCCCCACCGCATCGCCCGGTTAGAATTAGACTTTTCCTCCTTACCCCACCGCAACCCACCTCACCCCACCACCTCCATTCCAAAACTTCCATTCCTCCTCTCCCCTTCACCTCTAGCCAGCCAGACCACCTGATTCAACCCCCATGCTGGAGCCTTGTGGATTGCCACACGGCTATACTTCCTCTTTTAACCCTTCTCATCTGTAAAACGAACAATCCTTCCTCCCTCCCCTCGTCCCGTCCTCCTCCTTTTCCCATCCTCCTCCTTTTCCCGTCCTAGTTGCTGTAGGCCTCAGGATCAAACTTCGCTCCTCCCGTCTTCTTCCCGTCCACCTTCTCCTTCTCCCGTCCTCCTCTCCTGTACCCCTTCTCCCATCCTGTTCCTCCCCTTTTCCTCATCTCTTCAAGAAGTTCCAATACTTGAGCGCCAGGATGGAGCCCACCCGCATGACCAGGATGTACGCCAGCAGGATGAGCACCACCCACCACCGCATGTCGTACCGGTAGCCGAACCGCTGCGACATGAACTCGTCGATCGGGGTCGCCTTGCCTGTGAGGCGAGAGAGGTAGGGGAGAGGCAGCCAGGGGTGGAGGGTTAGGGTGGGTTTTAACTACCATATTCCGCACTGGACCTGACTGGAAACTGGAATTTTGGATGTATAGCCCGTAGCATTATTAGAGCTATAGACGGCATATTGCCCCGGCTAAAAACCCCTGTTTCACCTTCCTTCCTTGCGCTCTTCCCCCTCCCCACAACTGAGTTTCCGCGGCTCAGTTTACCTAATCCCCCTCCCCTCCTGCTGCCCTTCCCCCCCCTCCGCCCCACCTCCATAGATGATCACGCCCTCATCGTTGCCCAGCTGGCTGATGCCCAGGCCGTACAGGATCCAGGTGGGCGGTACGGCACGGTTCATCCAGCGCCAGCCTCGCGGCATGTCGGGGTATGTTATGATGAAGCCGTTGAACACCTGCAGGCGGGTGGGGGGGGGAGGCAGGCGGGTGGCAGGGGATCGTGCATGACTGTTACAATGGTTCCCTAAAAGGGAACGTAGGCGGTTGGCAGGGGACATGGGCGGGTGGCAGGGGACATGGGCGGGTGGCAGGGGACATGGGCGGGTGGCAGGGGACATTTGGCAGGGGACATGGGCGGGTGGCAGGGGACATGGGCGGGTGGCAGGGGACATTTGGCAGGGGACATGGGCGGGTGGCAGGGGACATGGGCGGGTGGCAGGGGACATGGGCGGGTGGCAGGGGACATGGGCGGGTGGCAGGGGACATTTGGCAGGGGACATGGGCGGGTGGCAGGGGACATTTGGCAGGGGACATGGGCGGGTGGCAGGGACATGGGCGGGTGGCAGGGGACATGGGCGGGTGGCAGGGGACATGGGCGGGTGGCAGGGGACATGGGCGGGTGGCAAGGGGACATGGGCGGGTGGCAAGGGGACATGGGCGGGTGGCAAGGGGACATGGGCGGGTGGCAGGGGACATGGGCGGGTGGCAAGGGGATGTAGGCATGTAGGGTGAGTTGGGGTGTGGTTAGGGTGAGGTTAAGAGGACACCAGTAGCAACCAACCATGATGACTATAGTGCCAACGCAACTCTTGGCACACCACCTCACTGCAACACAGATGACGTTTAGTAGTTTCTTCCCGTCTACTCCCCATTCCACCCTACCCCCTAACAGCAGTCTTTGACCCCCTAACAGCAGCAGCAGCAGCAGTTGCAGCACCCAGCTGCCGCACTCACATTGAAGAGGAAGTTGAAGCCGCCGCCCACCACCTGCGCAATGGCCTGCGCGGGCGTGATGTAGACGAGTGTCTGGCCAAAGATGGTGTAGAAGGCGATGGTTTCCAGGAACACGATGACGTAGTAGAAGAATGCCTCCGCGGTGGGGTCGAAGCCGATGGTAAAATAGATGATGGGCACAAAGATGAACGCCTGTGCGTGAGATGTGTGTGTGTGGGGGGGGGGGGGTAGGTGTGTTAAAATAACTGGCCGCGAGGCGAAACGTACTGTGTGGGTAGGTGTGTGTTAAAATAACTGGCGTGTGTGTGTGCGGGGGTGGGGGGGTAAATGGGGCGGAGGGTTGGGGAGCGGATGGGATGACGGTGGGAAGAAGGGGAGTGGCGGGAGCAATTGCATCCCCAACCCTTGACTCGCCTGCCACACAAACTACAACACATCGCAGCCCTTCACCGGCATACCGCACACACACAGTTATTTTAACACACAGTACGACATCCTACTCGCGGCCAGTTTTCTTAACACACAGTATGTGTATCGCGGCCAGTTATTTTAACAGGACAGTATGTCCTTCTTCACCGCCGGGGTCCGTTCCAACTCGCGGCCAGTTTTCTCAACACACACGCACACGCACCCATTTCCTTACCTGTACGAGCAGGTACGGCAGCTCCACGAGGGCGATGGCTAGGCCGTACGCAAAGGGGTCGTACATGGAGGCGCCCCGCTCGCGGTAAAACACCTGTGAGCGCATGGACAGGCAGACAGGCAGGCAGGCAGGCAGGTAGATACACCGGTCGTTGGTTCGGTTGGCAGGATACACGGGTCGCAGATGTTAAAAGTATCCTTTCCACGTTGTTTGTATGCTGTTGTATACAAACAACCACGTTGTTACATGCGAGCCGCAAACCGCTGGCTGTGTTTATCTCCCTCCCACCTCCCTCCCACCTCCCTCAACCCCCCGCCCGCCCGCCCCCCATCTCACCACTCGCTCGTAGCCCACCACGGGCATGACGCTCATGAGGTTTGTCATTCCCAGGAAGTTGGAGGAGCTGAACATGATGCCCATCACGTTCTGCACGCTGCCGATGGAAGCGGGGTTGGGCACCTTGCCCTCGCCCCAATACACGGCAGAGTAGATCCAGCTGTTTGGGGGGAGGGGGAAGTGGGGATGAAGGGAGGTGGGGGGAGGGTGAGGTGAGCGCGGGTCAAAAGAACTGACGAGCTGTATGACAGGGCTTCTCCGGGAAGTGAACGGGAGGGGAGTGGGAGGGGGGTCAGCAAGCGAGTAAACGATAGAACTCACAGGAGGTCAAAAGCAATGGGGGAAAAAAAGAAATTCCAAAGTGTGGTATGATAATGATACAAGTTGCTGACAATCCCTGGTGGAATCAACCAAGCAATGGGGGAGGAAGGGAGGTGAGGAAGATGGTGAAGGGCGTGCGGACGGTTGCAGGAAAAGTGTACCAGGAACCGTCCGCTGCCTACGGAAAACACAAACACCCCTTCAATCCCCCACCACCGCCCCTTCCTTCCTCCCGCCTCACCTGGTCACGAAGGTGAGGCCCAGCCGTACAAAGTTGTAACCCGGGGAGCGCCAGTAGGCCAGATTGAACTTGCGCAGCAGCACGCGCGTCTGCGTGGAGAAGGGCATTGCGTAGGTGTTGCCCACCTGTAGCAGGAGGAGGAGGAGGGGGAGGAGGAGGAGGAGGAGGAGGAGGAGGAGGGGGGGAAGGAGGAGGAGGAGGGAGCGAAGGGGAGAAGTGTCAGGAGAATGTGCGCGTGTTTGCAAAGGCGACGCAAAGCAGGTGGAGGCTGCACCGACAAGCGATAACGGTACTGCAAGGTGCTGATGCTGCATCTATCTGCCTGCCTGCCTTCCACGCCTTCCAACCAACCACTTCATCTGCACTTCACCCGCACTACACTCAACCCACCTGCAGCGCTGAGCTGGCTGCGGCCCCAGCCGAAACCAGTTCAGCTGCTCGGGCCTCGTTCTGAGGAGGGAAGGGGTGGGGGCAGGGGCAGGAGAAGGGAGGAAAAATTTATATAAAAGTGAAACAACGAATCCCAATCCCATATCCCATGTCCCGAGAAGGGAGGAGGGATGAGAGAAAGAAGGCGTGCGAGGAAGAAAGGAGGGGTCAGAGATATACCAAACCACAGGTTAGGCCAAAGCATCGGGGATACCAGTACTGCGACATCTGACATGTCATAATCATTTCCTGGGGGTATGCTACGGTTCCGCCGGCCAGTACTTCCCGCGGCTGCGTTCATCTGGTGCCCCCGCTCCCCCCCGTCGCTCACCCTCTTTGCCAGCTCCGAGCCAGCATACACCCCCGGCCAGTCCACCTCCACCTTGTCCAGCACAGTAGCCATGGAGCCGCCCGTCACCTCCAGCATCCAGGTGGCTGGGGGGGAGAGGATGGAGAGGAGGGGAGGGAGAGGGAGGAGAGGAGAGGAGAGGAGGAGGGGAGGGGAGGGGAGGGGAGGGGAGGGAGAGGGAGGAGAGGAGAGGAGGAGGGGAGGGGAGGGAGAGGAGGGGGAGTAAATGAGAAGCGAAGCAATTGGAGACCCAATCCCATATGCCGACACATGCAGGACGAGAGGGAAAGGAGGGGAGGGGAGGGAAGGAGAGGAGAGCGCCGGCCTAATTAATGTTTTTGGGTCCAATCCCGTATACAACCCACCGGGGTTGAAGCCCGAGGGCAGTCCGGGCGTCCCCGGCACCGCCATGAAATAGGCAATGAGGTCTGCCGAGTTGCGACCCAGGGGTCCAAAGTAGGTGGTCAGGCCGCCCCTCTGGATAAGCAGCAGGTTGTCGAAGGCCTCGAAGATCTCGATGGACGGCTGGTGGATGGTCACCATGACGGTTCGGCCGTTGCGCGCAACGTTGCGGACGGCGCGCATGACAATGGCGGCGGCACGTGCGTCCAGACCTGAGGGTGGGGGAGGGAGGGGGGGAGGGGGAGGTGAGGAGAAGGAGAAGGGGGAAAAATTATATAAGTGAAACAACGAGTCCCAATCCCATATCCCGACTCATGCAGTGAGCGCATTCGGAAGGAGAAGGAGAAGGAGGGAGTTGACAATGGGGTCAGGTCTTCACCAAGGTTAACTCCCCTCCCACACAAATTTTGCTGTTTTGCTCTGTTCATGCATTCCTAGGGTTTGGTCCGCTACCCCCGCTGGCCCCGCTACCTCCCCCCATTGCTATGCCCCCATTCGTGTTTTCCTATGGTTTGGTCTACCTTCCCCCCGCGCACCCCCCCGCCCCGCCCCCGCCTCCCACCGCTGGTGGGTTCATCCAGGAACACACAGGAGGGGTTGGCCACCAGCTCCACGGCAATGGTGAGCCGCTTGCGCCCCTCCACACTCAACCCGCTCTCCCCGGGGGACCCGACCAGGGCGCCCATCTGCGGCAGCAGGTCCACAATCTCCAACACCTCCTCCACGTAGGCCTTCACCTGGGGGGGTGAAGGGAGTGGGGTGGGGTGGTAAAACAAATTAGATTACAAAAATAAAGGAAAACTGACGAACTGTATGACGAGGGGGGGTGGGGGTGGGGATGGGTGGTCGGGGAGGGGTGTAATGAGGGGGAGAAAGTACCAGGGGGGTAAATTAACAAGAAGAAAAACGGTAACTGCTACCAGGAAATAGCTGCAAGAACATCCCCCCCCCACACACACGGCCAGTTTTCTTAACACACGGCCAGTTTTCTTAACACACACCTCCCCCATCTCGCCCCTCTTTCAACGCCCCCCCCCACACACACCGGCCAGTTTTCTTAACACACCTGCTGGTCGCTGAAGGAGGGCGGCAGTCGCAGCCTCGCACTGAACTGCAGCGCCTCCACCACCGTCTGAGCGGGGGAGTGGATGTCAAACTGCTCAACGTAGCTGGGGGGCGGGGAGAGGGGGGAGGGAGGGAGGGGGGAGGGAGGCGGTTAAGAAGAAGGGAGTTGTCAACGGTGTCAACCAAAAACTGTCCCAAGACAACAGGAGGTGTTGCTAGTCATGCAACGGTACTCCCTCACAGCAGCCCCCCCCCCCCATGGTGAAGCCTACATGTCATACGGCTCGTCAGTTGCTTCTCATTGTCTATTTTTTTACCCCCCACCCGGGTTGCCACCTTGCCGGCTATAACCCTGGCCCTACATCCTTTTTCTTTCCCTTTGCCCCCTCCCCTCGCAGCCGTACCCCGCAGCGTTGTCGCACTTATTTATAATTTCCCCCCTCCTTACCCCATGACACGGCTCCAGGCCCGTGGGTCCGCCCTGTGACCGTTGACGGTGATGGTGCCCCCGATCTCTCCGATGGTCTTGCGACCCGCAATCACATCCATCAGCGTGGTCTTGCCTGTTTAGGAGTGGGGTTGGGGGAGGGTGGGTGAGGGTGGGGAGAGGTGAGAATGAGAGGTGGGAATGAGGTTGTGGAGGCGGACGAGGAGGAGGAGCTTGCTTGAGGGAGCGAGCAGCAGAGAGGACGGACCTAACCGTGGAAGGCTCCTGAGAGGAAGGACCTCGTGAACCCTGCTAGTCCTACTTTCTTACCAAAATCCGACACGACACAGCATACACTACACCCTCCTCACCCCCCCACCCCCCCACCCCACCCCACCCCTCACCCGCTCCTGACCCCCCCATCAGCGCCAGCATCACCCCCGGCTCGTTGAAGCCCGTGATGCCGCTCAGCAGCTGCAGCCGCTCCCGCGCAGCTAGCGGCGGAGGAGGGGCCGAGCCGCCGGACCCGCCTCCTGCTCCTCCTCCTGGAGCACCAGCAGCAGCTGCAGTGGCAACCCCCAGCTCCACATCTCCTGCATCTCCGCCGGCGCCGTTTGCATGCGCGTCAATGGCGGCCTGGTTGGTTTCGGAGGCGGTCTTGGCGGCAGCCTTGGCGGCAGCTCGGGAGTAGGCGGGGTTGGGCACGGTGTAGCTGCAGGGAGGGGGGGGGGGTAGGTGGGGAGGTAAAAATAAAGAAACACTGACAAACTGGGGAGGTGGCGGGAGGAGTATGGGTAAAGAAGATGTGAGCGATTGAACATGCGGGAGGGGTGATAGATGTACAGAGGAGCATGTACGGAAAGAACGGTGGGGCAGCCGACCCGTGGGTCGGGATGATGATGCGCAGCATGTTGATGGCGCCAACTGCAGCAGCTGGCAGATGACCCGTGCACCCAAGACCCAACACAAGTACCCACCCAAGACCCAACACAAGCAGTGCCCAGGCTGCCCAGGCTGTCGAAGTTGCCCGGAGAGGGGCGAGCAGGTAAGGTGGGTATATACCGGTACCGCTAGTCCCCGGCTACTTACGTGAGGTTCTGGAAGACCAGGGTGATGGGGGTGAAGGGCAGCGAGGAGGAGATGTCGATGTAGTCCTGTTGGGGGGCGGGAAGGGGGGAGGGGGGCGGGAAGGGGGAGAGGGGGGCGGGAAGGGGCGGAGGGGGGCGGGAAGGGGGGGAGGGGGGCAGGAAGGGGGGGAGGGGGGCGGGAAGGGGGGCAGGAAGGGGGGTTGAGGAGCGGGATTAAGGAGATGTACACCTAAAACCCTAGGAGACGGAAGGTATTGGGGGGGGTGGGGAGCGAGAGGAGGTGAAGAGAGGTTGATGACCACGGGATGAGACGTGAGCTTGCGCTCGGGGGGGGGGGGGGGCAAAGAGGAAACAACAAACTGACTGCTCAGGTGGGGGCGGTAGTGGTGGAGGTGCTCATGATGGCTCTCACTCACGTGCTGCGCGGCAAGACTCCACCAGACATGGAGGACACAGCAGGACAGGCATGCATGCAGCCATCCATCCATCCAACCATCCAACCATCCAACCAGCAAGCAAGATTTACCGATACTGTTTGTTCGGAGACACCGAGCACAAAGCACTTGTGTGCACTTGTGTGCACGGACACTGTTTCTCCCCTTCGGAAGTGTTTCCTTGCGGCTCAGTTTACCTACTTCCCCACCCCACCCCGCTGTACAGCGCATGCACACCCTCCCACCTGCAGTGCGGCAGTGGAGGGCGACAGGATCATGCCGCGACCCTCCGCTGCCGCCTCCTGCTCGCCACCGCCACCGCTGCTGCCGTTGACGCCCTTGGGCTGCGCCTTGCACACCTCGATCACCACCTCCTTCTGCGCATGTGTGTGTGTGCGTGTGAGGGGTGGAAACAGGGCGGGAGGAAATGACCAGCTGGAGGATATACATAACCCCATACCGGGTGTCAACTAGGCAGGTAGGTGGGTTGGTAGGGGGGGGGGTAGCGGGGGGTAAAAAATATATATGATGAGACACTAGCGGGTAGCGGGGGGGGGGATAGCGGGGGGTGGGTGGCGGGTCACGTGGTTTGCAGCGGACACGGTGAGGGGACACACGTGCCGGGGCATGCAGCGGCAATACCGGTTTAGACACACAGGGCAAAGCAGAGCAGGCACCGAGACACAGGACTTCACTTCACCTGTGGCGTTCTTCGGTGGGAGGACTTCATCTTTCGGCAATCACAGTACGTTTCGCCTCGCGGCCAGTTATTTTAACACATACAACCACAGCCACAGTACGTTCCGACCCGCGGCCAGTTGCCTCAACGCACGAGCTAACAGGCTTCCTCCCCACCCGTGCCTCCCCACCCCCGCCCCCACCTTCTTCTTCTTCCCCCCCGCTTCTGCTCCTCCCCCCGCAGCAGCAGCGGGCAGTGCCACCACTTGCAAGTGCCGCTCCTCCGCTCGGCGCCGAGCCGCCTCCACCTCCTCGGCATCAGGCAGCTGGGGGGAGGGGGCGGGTGTAGCGTGTAAGTGTATATCGCGCACCGACAGGTGTATGTGTGGACGTCTTGTTAGGTCGTGTGCAAGGGGAAGCAAGGTGCGGAATGAGGGCGCCCCATCCCCCTTCCCCACTCTCATTCAACACATTGGGTATCCTTCTTTCTCCCCCCCCCCCCATGCTGGCTTCCTCTTTATAGGTAAGTCCCCCTTTATTTCTTTTTCTTGCTTAGTTTTTGTTTTACAGCTAATCCCCGTTTTTTCTCCGGCCCTGCCTCCTTGTCACGCCGAGCACATGTGGGGCCTTGGTGACCGGAATTTGACAGCATTCCCAGCAATAGACAACTAGAACAGCCAGCTTTCTTCGGCCCGCTCGCTGGAGTGTCAACCTTTCATCAGCAACGCAGACCCGGTGTCGGTAGGGAATATTAACCAACCCTTTGTCTTGTGGCACCCTGCCAACTCCTACCCCCATTGTTTTGCCCTAACTTGTGGTCTCCTATGGTTTGGTATGGTCTTTGACACCCCCCCCATGCCCCCTTCCCCTCGCCCCCCCTTCCCACCTGCGCCGCCGGCACCCTGGGCTGTTGGAAGTGCAGGCTGAGTACGGCAGCCCATGTGAAGATCAGGTAGTAGCCGAACAGGAACCCCACGCCAATCCAAATCCACTTGCGCTCTGCAGGCAGGCAGGCAGGGTTGGGATTGGGCGGGGGTTGGGAACTTGGGATGGGCGGGTGGGAGTGGGGACGGGGAAGGGGTGACATTGTTGTAGCGTAGAAGCCAACCCGCCCTTTCCTCTCTCATTTCCAGGTCCCCAACAAACACCGGCACTGCACTGGGCCTTTCCCAACGCAGCTCAGCAACCACCTACCCGCCCACGGTTCGTTAGTTGCTTCCTCTTTAGCCACCCACCCACCTCTTTACCACCCACCCACCCAACCACCCACCCACCGGTATAAAAGTCAAAGCTCTGCAGGGCCGCATCCCCCAGACTCAGCCCCGGCGTCATTCCGGCCGGCGCAGGCACGTTCTGCCACTTGGGGGACACCATCTCATTGATCACCAGCGCACGCAGCGCATAGCCATGTGGGCTGATCCAGTAGGCCCAAATCACCCAGTCGGGGATGGAGTAGTGCACGATGGCGAAGCCCGACGTGAGGATGAGCAGCACCAGGGAAATACCCGCGGCGGCGTTGGCGATGACCATGGTGGGGCAGACGCAGGCTGGGGGTGGGCGAGAGAGGGTGGGGAAAGTAGATGATAAGTGAGGGGGAGAGGGAAGGGGAAGAGGGAGCTAGGGTAAATGTGTGCATGGAGCTGCTGAGAGTAAGAGGGGGGTGAGTAAAGCTGCATAGCTCGTCTTCTGAAGGCGGCATCAGGCAGCTCCGGGGGCCCCGCTAGCGACCCATGGGTCCATGTGCATCCTGGGGCCTACCAGCGACTCAAGTGACCCATGGGTCCGTCCACACTGCCGACCCATGGGTCAGGACACCCACCTAGGAAGCGAAAGGTGGCAGACATGACCATGGAGGAAGCCACCATGAGGAGGTAGAAGGTGAAGAAGTAGCCGGGTTGGCTGGGGGGGCGGGGTGGGGGTAGGGGAGGGAAGGCAGGGGGAATGTGGGTTGGGAACAGGGGTTTAGGAGCAATATAATAAGGGTTTCCGGAGAACCTGCCAGCCAGCCTGCCTGCTGCTCCCCACACCACTCCACCTGCTACTCCCCACAGCTGCTCCTACCAAACCCACTCACCGGTAGAATCCCACCATGAAGTAAATGATGAGTGAGAACACGCCCGCCTCGATGGCCGACAGCGGGATCTGCGCGGGGGGTGGGGGGCAGCGAGCAGTGGGCAGGGGTAAAAAAATATATATGATGAGACACTGACGAAGCAACTGACGAGCTGTATGACAAGGGGCAGGGGTGGGGCCGGCAGAGAGAAACCGTGAGGGCAAGACACAAAGGGCAAGAGGGCAAGGGATAATTGCTGCAGCAGATGAGGATGTGCAGGAGGTGTGCATGTGAATGCAACAAGATCGGCCCTGACACAGACGTCACGGAAGTCATGGCAGACAGATGAGACAATATGGGGCAACAAACGGCAGAGAGAGAGAGATGAAGCTACTGGTTTAGGACGTGCAGGGGGATCTGCAGTATGGGTTCATGTTCTTGTGCTGCAATCAGGAGGCGAGGGACATGAGGATGGCAGGAGACGCGCGCCAAGTGGAGAGAAGGCTCAGGGCGTGAGCTGCATGCATGCACCCATGCAGCCATCCATGCATGCAACCATTCAGCCATCATAAACGGCAATCAAGTGGTAGTGGGCAGTGGGTGCCACACTTGCAAGTCATAACGGAGTTTGACACCCCCCAGCCCCCGCTGTGAGGCAACAAACAACTCCTTCAAAACATTTGCAACAAACAGGCGGCTTTATTATGTCCCCCCCAGCCCCCACCTGCGTGAGCGCCATGGCCAGCCCTTGCGCGTATGCTGGGTAGAAGCCGGCGGCGCGGTGCTTGTACCACACCCTGAGCAGGGGGCATAGGCAGGCGGGTTGTAAAAATTAGTGACAAAGGCAAGCAACTGGAGTCCCAATCCCGTCATATCCCAGGGGTGGGACGTGGGAGGGACAGGCGTTCAGCGTGGATAGCTGGAAGAAGTGTTGCGAGGAGCGGTGGGAGGCAGGGAGAGAAGGGGCTCTGGGGCTTACAACCCTACCCCCCCAATCTTTCTCCCTCTAGAGCAGCAGCAGGGTCGTTTTGTGCTCCCATTCCCTACAACCTCCCCCCGGCCCCACCCTACTCACTTCTTCAGCTCCATGGTAATGGGCAGCTGCGGGAAGCCGCCAAAGCTCATGAACAGCGTGCTCATGAAGGAGGCTCCAAAGATGGTGCGGGAGGCGGTCATGGAGACGCCCTGGTTGTAGAATAGGCTGCCCGTCAGGAGGCCCAACACGATTACCTGCATGCGGGGGGAGAGGGGGGGAGAAAAAATTAAATATGTGAAACAACGAGTCCCAATCCCATATCCCGACTCATGCAGTGGAAGTGGGAGGGGGTTCAAAGTCGGGGGCATGCGGGGAGGGGGGTCAAAGTCCATACCATACGAGGCCACAAGTTAGGAGGGCATGCGGGGAGGGGCGGCAAGCAGGGAGGGAGGGAGGGGCGAGGAGGAGTGTCAGGCTTAACTGGCCACAACAACGACACCAATCTCAGTGGACGGTAGAGTGACGCTGATCCATGTGTTATTCCAAGACCCAAAAGAGCTTTCCCCAAACACCTCCCTCCCCCCCCCCCCCCTCCCACCTGCACCAGCCGCCCCTTCAGCAGCACCCTATCCCGCATCACCAACGTCATCTGCCGCCGAGTGGCCGCAGCTACAGCCTCCAGCGGTCGCAAGGCAAAGTGCTGATCCGCGGGAACGAGCGGGGGAGCGGGGGGGCCACTGGCGGGGGCGAGCTGTCGGAGCTCGGAGTCCATGGCGATGCCTGCACGCGTGTGTGTGTGTGTTTTGGAAGGAAGACGAGTGATACCCAATGGGGTGAATGAAATGGGACAAACCAGACGACATGAGGGGAGGGTTGCCAGCAGCAAACGGTACACCTGCCTGCCTGCCCTGCCCACCCCGCCCACCCTACCGTGCTTGTTGGTGCTCCAAAAGAGCTTCTCCATCTCCGCTAGCGACAGCAGCATGGACCTGGCAGGGGGGAAGGAAAAGGGGGGAAAGGAAAAAGTGGGAAGAGATAAGGGAAGGAAGGGAGGAGGTCGGAAGGGACAAGGACGAGAGGGAGGGTAAAAGAAGGCACCGGTATAAAGGGGGCTTCCGTTCGCAGCACGATGTTTTCTTCCCCTCCCCTCCCCATCTATACTCTGAAAAATGTCTCCCTATTACCGGTGCTCCCCTCGCCTCCCCCACCCGCCCTCACTTGGCTCTCAGCTTGAGGCTGCCCCCTCCTCCGTGCTCACTGCCGCCCGCCGCCACCCCCGCCCCCTCCCCGCCACCGCCTGCCGCCTGCATGCCGCCCCCCGTGCTGCCGTCACCCCCGTTCACCCCCCCAGCATGCATTACACGCAGCTCGGGACCTGGGGGAGGGAGGGAGGGAGGGAGGAGGCAGAAGAAGAGAGGGGGATGTGGATAGCGGAAGGGTATGGAAGGATGTGGATAAGATTGTTGGCTTAGATACGACGGAGCGTAGCGATCGGAGTTTCTAAGCCTGGTTCTGTGCGACTGTCGTACGACCTAGATCGGGAGGCGAGATGTTTAGGCCTCCGCTCTCCTGGTTCAGGCATTCTGCCTTCACTCAGTTGAGCTTTCAGCCTAGTAGACCGGCGGGTTTCAATCAGCTGGCCGATAGCCCGGGTGCGGAGGCGAGCCCAAGGCCCGAAGGCCCATGACATGGAGAGCAGCTGCAGTGTAATGGCCCTTGGCAGCTGTCCCAAACGTCCCGCTTTTGACACGTTCCGCTTGGCACTAGTCAGAAACCGTTACAGCCTAAACAGAGAGCCTCTCGAGATAGGTAACGGGAGACAGGAGCACAGAAGGAGAATGTGAAGAGCCAGGTTTACCGCCCGCCACTCCACCCTCCACTCCCCATGCAGTCTCCCATCCCCCCCTCAGCCCCCTCCCACACGGACATTGAGTATTCTCCTTCCCCCCTTACCCCCCCTCCCACCTGCAAACTCCAGCTGCCCCCCCGGCGTGGTGATCTCCAGCAGGAAGGACGGCACGTCCTTGCGGTCCGGGCAGTGCAGACCCAGCGACCGGAAGTGCGGCACCACATCAGACACGGGGCCATGGTAGAGGATGCGGCTGGGTGGGTGGGGGGAGGGTGGGTAGAGAGGTGGGGGATTGGAGGGTGGGTAAGGAGGGATAGTAGAGAGAGGGCCAAAGAAACCAGGAAGCCAGGAAAACACAGGCACGCTGCAACAAACAAACGCAGGCCAGTGTGGTATGGCAGCAGCGAGTATGAGAATGGCAGTGAGGCAAATGGTAACCCGCCCCCCTACTACTCAGCACCCGCCCCCCAGCAACCCCCCTGGGACTCAATTGCCACAATTTTCTTCTTTTAAACGTCTGTTACACTTCTTTTACCCCCCCCCCCGCTAACCCCCTGCTCCCCATCACTCGCCCCGCCGCCATGAGGATGACGTCATCAAACAGCCCAAACACCTCGGGGGGCGGCTGTAGCAGCGAGGCCACGGTGGTCAGCTGCAGCGCACGACCCGCCTGCCCTAGCCAGCGGATCACGGTGAAAAGCGTGGCAGAGTCCTTTGAGGGGGAGAGGGGGAGGGGGAAGGGAGGGGGTAAAAATAAGGAAAACTGACGAACTGACGAAAACTGACGAGGGGGGGGGGGTCAAAGAGATGCACCAGAAGCCCAGAACCACAGGTTAGGGCAAAGCATTGGGGATAGAGTGAAGTAGTTTGGCGGAGGGGAGTGGTGAGGAAGGGTGAAAAGGGCCAGTTTTCTTAACACACTGGCATCCGCGCATCCAAGGGCCACCATCATCTCCATTCCCCCAACCCCAAAGCGGTCTCACCAAACCTAGTCCCCCTCCCTTCCCCTTCGGTTCGTCCCTTTCTTCATCTTTACTTCCCACTCCCCTCCACCTCCCTCCCTCCACTCACTAGCCCTGTCGACATCTCATCCAGCATGACCACATTGCTGGGCCCCACCTGCACGGGTGCAGTACGGTGTGTACGGCAGGAGAGGCAGGGGAGTTAGGAAGGGGAGTTGGGAAACAGGAACACAGGGAGGGTGGCCAGAGGAGGTTAACAGGACGCAGGGAGGCCCGGACAGCCCCTTACCACGAAGAAGAGCGCATGTGTGTGCTTTGTTCGTGCTTCAGTTGTTTCTGTGCTTACTTACACCACCTTTCCCCCCAACCCCACCCGCCCCTCTCACCCCAACCCCACCCGGCCCCCCTCCCACACACACACGCCAGTATCTCCGCCCCCTCCCCCCCTCCAGCGCTCACTGCATGTGCATTCGGGATTGGGACTCCGTTGATGCACTTATTCACATAATTCTTCCCCCCACCCCAACCCCACCCCCCTCCCAACCCCACCCTCCCCCCCAACCCACCAGTATCTCTGCCGCCGTGAGCCGCTTCCGCTCCCCCCCGCTGATCCCCCGCATCAGCTGGTCGCCCACCACCGACTCCGCGCAGTGGCTCAACCCCAACAGCGACATCACAATGTCCACGCGCACGGGGGTGCCCCAGCTGGCGCGCAGCAGGGCCTCGAACTCGTCTTCGGGGGCCTGGGGGGAGGGGGTAATTTGGAAACAGAATCCACATTAGGCTGGATAGTTGGGGAGGGGGAGGGGGAGGTGGAGCGGAGGTGAGGGAGCGGAGAGGGTTGGGGGCGTATCGAGTGGCAAGGGGTGGTGGGGGCGAAGTGGGGTCAAGGGAATGCGAGCCATGGGGTGGCGGCAAGGGGTGGTGCGAACCTGGCGGTGACGAGGGCGGCGGGTGAGGGGCGCCATGCATGTAAGGTGCGGTATGTCAACACACGTGCGTCGTCCCTATCTGTCAGTGAGGCCCCCTCCCCCCCTCCCCCGCTCTTACCGCCTGCTCAAGCAGCGAGGACTTGCTGCTCTTCCCGCCCAGTCCCGCTCTAGGGGTGGAGGCGGCGGACGCTGCACTGTAGGCGGAGTCCCCACCCGCCCCCGCCCCTCCACCACCGCTGAGACGCTGTGAGGCGATGTGATGCGCGGCTAGCTCGGAGGGAACGTCGAAGGGGGCGCCGTGCAGCCCAACCTGCGGGTGTGTGGGGTTTTGTGTGTGTTTTGGGGGAGGGGGGGGGGTCAAAGATCAAACCGAACCATAGGAAGCCACAGGTTGGGGCAAGGCAATGGGGATAGGAGCGGTAGGGTGCCACAAAAACAAGTATGGGTTAGCGGTCCCTACCGATACCGAGTCCTGGGTTAGCGACCCTCCAGCGACCGAGCTGAATGCTGGCTGTTGTAGTTGTCTACTACTATTGTCTTGATGTCAAACATCGTCACCAAGGTTTTGTGTGTGTTTTGGGAGGGGGGTCAACGATCATACCGAACCATAGGGCGAAGGAGGCGTGTGTTTTGGTGGGGTCAAGGAGAGGGGCGTCTGTGTGGGTGTTTTGATGTACGACAAAACCACAGGGGCATCGTACACCGGCTACATCCCAACTGTGTTTCCGCGGCTCAGTTTATCTAAACCCAACTCAACCGATTGTATTCTTTTATCCGCATTCGATCCGCGCTGACAGCAACGGTCATTCATTCAGCAACGACCAGTGTACGGCAGCCGGAGTACGACAGGCGGGACAACGGACAAGAAAGAATGACGATGCCAGAAAGCTCATCAGGTGTTTGCGGAAAGCTTCTCCTCCCTTCAAAACCCCACCCCACCCCACCCCACACCCCCCACCTGACAAGCATGTGCAAAGTCCAGCGTCTCTCGGACTGTGAGGTTGGGGTTGTGGTTGTCGATCTGCGGTTGGTTGGTCGGGGGCGGATGGTTGGTGTCGTTAGGAGGGTGAATTTGAGTGGAGCCAGGAATTGTGTGCAGTTCAGGAGAACAGTAGGAGGTGCTGTGGGTTACATAGGGACAGGTAGGAACGATGTGCCATAACAAGACAGACACTCCGACGAAAGTAGGACACGTCGAGGGAATGATGGCGGCTGAGAGCGGGAAGACGCTGTGAGCTGCATTTGCTTTTGACAATCATGACACACATGGCAAATCCGATGATGCTTTGCTACCCAACCCAACTCCTGCTGACGCCGTGCGACACCGTACACACAATAACACAATCCGGCAATCACAGCATATGTTCCGACTCGCGGCCGGTTTCCTCAACACGCACCTGGTCAACGTATGCTGCCGTACGACGGACGTTGAATTCGTCGAGCGCATGACCGTTGTAACGAATGTCCCCAGACAGCTGTCGGTTGTCGGTTGGGAAAGGACAAGAAGGGAAACAACGCCTCAGTCACAGCAGCTCAGCCCAGCAGACAGCACCCAGAAGGGTAACATACAAGATACACCAAACACAACCAAACACGCTGTCTTCCCGCATCAACCCCATGCCCCCTCCCCATGCAACAACCCCATCGTACTGCACCGCCCGCCCTCTCCCGCACACGCACCCACCCCCGCCCATACCTTCCCCTACTACGCACCCATCCCACCCTCCGCCATGCACCCCCCACCCGCCCCACCCCATACCTTCCCCTGCGCCGGAATGAGCCGCCCCGTCAGCGCCCGCATGAAACTGCTCTTGCCGCAGGAGGGCGGCCCCAGCAGCAGCGTCAGCCGCCCGGGTACCAGCCGGCCCTGGATGCCGTTCAGGATGGTGAGGGGCTTGGACTCACGGCCCTGGTGCAGGCCTAGTACTTGCTGCGGGGGGGAGGGGGGGTCGAGGGTTGGAGATGGGGTGGGTGGGGGTGGGATGTGGGGGAAAGGATGAATCAGCAGCAGCAGGAGGAGGAGGTTGCAAGGCAGGGAGGTGTGTGGGACAGGAAGAGAGGCAGGGGCCATGGCGCGTGCCGGTATACCGGTATCTCCGCCTGCCTCCTACCCAGGTTTGGTACACCTCTGCAACACCCCCTCCTGCCCTACCTTGACAAACGTGAGCGGCACGGAGGCCACCGTGGGTACCGACGCCGCCCCCACTAGCGCCTCCGTCTGCACCCGCAGCTGCCGGTATTCCACCGTCACGGAGGGAAGCGACACGCCGGCCTGGAGGTGGGGAGAGGGGGAGGTGAAGGAGGTGGGGAGAGGTAAAGAGGGAGGTGAGGGGAGGAGAGAGCGGTGCAGTGTGGGGCCCTGGAGGCTGATTGCAGCAGCAAGTCATGATGGATTGAGGTTGATAGATGCATGGGGCACACGGCGCATAGGGCTCTAGCCAGGGAGGCGTAACATGGCATAACAATGACTTGATTGTCACACTCTCGTCAGCTCTTTTACGCGTCCGTGCCCCGGTTGCCTTCCGTACGACTGTTGCCCTCATGTGCCCTCTCCATCCTGCCGACACACAGCACCGCAGCGCTTACTTCTTCAAGCCGCTTGCTCAGACGCGTGAAGAACGTGTCATCGCGGTCTTTGTGCTCTAGCAGCCGAGCCGCTAGCTCCTTGCGGCGCTCCAGCGTTAATTTACCCCGTGTGCTCTCCATTTCCGCACGCAGCGCTGCCAGCAGCTTTGCGTCGGCCGTGGCACGTGGAGAGCGCGGTGTGGCTGGCAGGTTGACCTCTTGAACGCGCTCCTGTCGCGCTCCATTTTCAGTAGTGGGCGATTTAGATTCGGCTATGGGTTGACCTGGCAGCACCATTTCCATAAAGCCCTACGGCCTGTTGTCTAAATGGCGCTACTGAGTCATGCGGTAGTTCACCAGTGTGCGGGCCGAGTGGCGGAGTGGGGCAGTCAAGCTTGTAAAAATGGCCAAAGTTGGCGTAATCGCAAGCGCCAGCGACAACAACAGACGTGATGCTTGGTCCAGTCGCAGTGCTTAACAGTTTACCGGTTGCTGTTACTGCGGTCGGCATTTGTCTCTCCTTTCGAGACTACTCAGCCACCGTAAGGTACGGCATTTACGTAAAGGTGGCCTTAGACCGGGATGACACGTATACGAGCTCGATTACTTGTAGCTTATACCTGTAGCCATTTCACTATACTATGCATTAGTTACTTGCTGTCTCCTTTACGCATTCGCACGGGTGTGGTACGTGGGCAGGGCCGAATTGCAAGAAGTCCCCTGGCAGGAGTAGAGATACAACGTCTAACTGCCATCATTACTTCCATTTACCCCTAGTATACTGTTATGCCTAGATATTCTCTGTGTTGCACCTCTCCTTATCAAAGCAATGTCGATAGGGAGGATGTGCCACTGGAGCCTTTGGGACGGGGTGTTTTGCGGACCCATCCTGGAGACAAGCAAGATGAGCATTTATTACAAAACAAATGCGACTATTAGGCTGACAATTCTCCTGTTGTGGCCCATGGGCCAACGTAACATGGCTTCCCCCCGCTTTTATGTAGAGGCTGTGAACAAGCATTCCATGCTTACGGTCGGCTAAATTGAGCGTCTAATAGAACAAAGTATGCCGTAGATCGACCCAGCAGCCTGTTGTCCTGCCTTTCCAAAGCGCCAGCTGTGTTGCCCCTTCACTCTGACTAAAAACAATTCGTAAACAGCAAACATGCACAACGTCTTCTCATACTCAAAGTCGCAAAAACAGGTCGCCGCCATACTTAACTGCTGCTGACTGGTCTAGCAACTGTCGGGCGATGGTGCCGCATGTCGCCCCTGCATGCATCCCAGTCCGCAGCGTAAAGCGCAGGAAAGTGTTGGGGGCAAGAAGGATGTCGCAAGCCTAAGTGCTCCATCACCACCCGCATCAACAGCACACATGCATGAGCAACGCTTGAGCTTCTGCCGCTCACCTGCCTCTTGCCAGCACTATTTCTACCGATAATGCCCACTAATACTACTATCACGTACCTAATCTTACATTTATACACATCCACAATTCCTTCAATCCCATTGCTTCCTACCTCGTTACCCCTGCTGCGACTGTGCTTCCCTTGTGTCCGTTAGATGGCACTGCACATTGGTAATGAGATCTTTATAATCAATCCCTGCAGATGGCGTAGCCGTCTAGCTAGCTACCTAGCACGTACGGCATCCAGTAACGCTATGGCGTTTGCCCATCCATGCACATCCACCACTAGCCACCACCCCACATTCACACCGATCACACGCCCGCATGCTCCGCAGCATTTGTACGGCATTATTATTCCCACGCTCTGCACGTAAAACAGCAATCAACATGTTGCGTGAACGAGCGCATCCGTCCATCCATCCACGTCAACCCACGATCCTTGACGCTACCCGTGCGCCCTGCTCCACCTGCTGTGCCCCTTCACCGCTGCTGCTGTCCCACCTAAACCTTTGTCCGTTTCGCCTCCCTCAACAAACGTCGCTGCTGTTGCTGTTTCTTCTCCGCCTCTCCGCTCTCCTGCCCATTCCCCCGCAGCCCCTCCACGAACAGGTCGTCTCGCGGCCAGTGCAGCGGGTCCTCATGTAGCGTGCGCAGCTCGGCGAGGCGGGAGGTGACCCGTGGGTCGGAGGGGTCTGAGGGCGCGTAGCGGTCCAACACCTCGGCGTAGCTGGCAGGGGGCAGGGGGCAGGGGGCAGGGGGCAGGGGGCAGGGGGCAGGGGGCAGGGGGCAGGGGGCAGGGGGCAGGGGGCAGGGGGCAGGGGGCAGGGGGCAGGGGGCAGGGGGCAGGGGGCAGGGGGCAGGGGGCAGGGGGCAGGGGGCAGGGGGCAGGGAGGGAAAGGGAGCGTGCGGGAGTGAGGGAGAGAGGGAGTGAGGGAGTGAGGGAAAGGGAGTGGTTTGGGTGGGCAGTGCAACAGCAGGGGGCATCAGCTTTCCATTCCTCACGAGCCCGCAAGGAGGGGCGGAGCGCAGCACAGCATGCAACACCCGTCATTTGCTGAGCCACACACCACAATGCCCCGAATAACCAACCAACCAGCCAACTAAAGAACAGCACCCTAAAATCCTACACACGCACCCGCAGGTGTTCTTGGTGGCATCGAAGCTCTGCATGAAGCGCAGTTCTTCCGCCAGGGGGACGCACAACTGCCGCCGGCTGCAGCTGATGGGGTACCTGGGAGCGAGCGAGGGGGCGCAGGTATTACAACACAGTAATTGTCAAGGTGTGTGTATTGAAAACATCACGAGCCGGAACATATTGTGAGGGATGAATGTGTCCATGTGTGCCGTACGCCTTACCGTCGCCGGCCCCCCTCCTGCCGCTCCGCTCACCTGTACTGCGCTGCAAGGTGTGTGAGCAGCCTGAAGAGGTAGCAGAGCCGGGCTGGGCGGCTGAGGTGGGTGCGCGCAAACTGCTGAGCAGCTGCGGCGATGTGGCGGGCTTGCGGGTCGTGCGCGCGACACCACTGCACGGCCTGGCAGGCAGCAGGAGAGGGAGAGAGGAGGGGAGGTGGGGAGGGTAAGTCTTACCACGCATGGTGATGCCGTAATACCGTTACCGGTACCCCTAACTGTCTGCTACCACAGCCTCAGTCAAGGGCGGGGCCCAGATGCTTTGAGGCTCCCTTCGGGGGTTACGCCGCTAGTCCTTTTGCAGCTAGCGGTGCCACATGAGAAGCTCACCCAATCGCTACACAACCACCCCACCGCGCGCCTGATGACGTCAACCCACCTCGATAATATCGTCTTGGTGCTTGACCATGAAGGGCACGTAGTGCTTGTAGGGCTCTAGTGCATCGTAGTAGAAACCACTGCGGTAGGAAGCGGCCTGGTGGGACAGGGGGGAGTCAGGTACTAGCTAGATAGTGTGCCCCCCATTGTGGACGACCAGGGCCGTATCCCCATTAGTCATCATCGTAAGGTTTTGGATACCTTCCTGCTTCCTTCCTCCCTCTCCTCCTGCGTGTTTCCCATGCGGCTGCTCGAGCCTTCCCCCCACCACACGGACCTTCAGCACCGTCGACCCGAGCAGCAAATACTTCTCTAGCTTACAGCTGATCGACCAACCTGGAAAGGAGGGGGGAGGGCCAGGAAACGCACATACCAAACCACTGGTTAGGGCAACCTTAGGGCAAAGCAACCTGGGGACGGGGTCAAAGAGGCCGTTTCATTGCGGAGGGGGAGAGGCGCGAGAGTTGATGCGGGTGTGGAAGAACACAAGGAGAAGCAGGTAAGCAAACTACAGGGTAAGCTAAGACGCCCAGGACGCGGGCAGGACCACGGGAGTAGTAAAGTATTCACATTGTGTGCATACACGACGTATGTACACGTGTCCTTGCTCGGAAGGTCTGGAAACACCCTCGCTCCTCTCCTCTCCCTCTCACACCCCCGCCCACCCCCTCCCGCACCAACACTTTGTCTTGTGGCACCCTGCCGCCTACTACCCCCATTGCTGTGCCCTAACCTGTGGTCTCCTATGGTTTGGTATGGTCTTTGACCCCCCTCCCACACCCACCATCCGTTGACACCAGGTATTTGTGCGCGTTCTGGTGCGCTAGCGGCACGGGTCGCGCCCGACCCAGATCGTAGGCATCCAGCAGCTGGGGGTGCGAGTCAGACAGCGTGTTCAGATGGCGGCGGGGGCAGGGCGCGGGCCGCCCGTCGTCGGTGCGCACAAGTCCGGCTTCGTAATAGTAGGGGCAGAAGGCGTTGTAGCGGCCAAATGCGACCTGGGGGGGGCAGGAGGGAGGCAGGGGGGCGTTACCCGGGAGAGGGAAAGCAAAGTGGAATCAGAGTACGTGTCTGTGTGCTTCGTGGCTCTGCAGGTTCGAGTCACTAAGTGGCAGAAGCAGGCAGGTGGGGAGGCAGGGGAGCTCCATATGCCGGTGTATTCGCACAGCGGAAAGGGAAGCCGTTCGTGTATATTCCGCCGCCGCAACACGCAGTGAGTGCTGCCCGTCTCTCCCACCCCAACCCCGCCCCACACCGCCCCGCCCGCCACCTACCTCCTTCCGCTGCTCCCAGGGAACGCGCCCCGCCGTCTCCTCCAGCTGAGCCGCCAACGCATCGAAGCTGTCGCGCGGGCACCTGAATGCGCCGCTGTTAGGAACCATGAACACGCCATTGTCCTCACTTTTGCTCCATGCAGCAATGGGCGGCAGACCCCCCACGGGCGTGTAGGGCCAGGCTGTCTTGGGAGCACCCCTGCCGCCACTGCTGCTGCCATTACTGACGGCGCTGCTAGTGCTAGTGCTGCTAGTGCTAGTGCTGCTACTGTCGTCCTTTAAGAACGTGGTCTCAGCTGGGGGGTTGTCATCTGCGTTTTGAGTGTTCGGGAAGCGGCAAACAGCAGTTGGGATGGGAGTTGAGAGATTGTTCCCGGCCTATCGCTGCATCCAAAGTAAGGCCCCTCTGCCAGCCAGCCAGCCCCGCGCCTCACCTATCCAGAAAGTGAACTCCACATTCGGAAGGCTGGGAGGGAGCGGTATACGGAAGGGGTTGGTCAGGAATTGGATTGTGAAGCCCGCGGTCAAAGATACCACTACTGAATTCATGTACGGGAGTCAGACATGACAAGGTGTGATGTGTCACACGTGGATGCAATAAAATGCAGAACAAGGCGTGACTGGCGCACCTGTACACCTGACTGGCTTCGTACAACTCCAGGAGCAGGCCGATGTGCTCAAAGGCTCCCAGCCGATGGGCGGGAATCACGTTATTCAGATAGACCGTTCCTGCAAGCAAAGGGGCCCGCGTAACCAATATCAACGAATACCAAGCAGGTGCTTTACGCTTCTTTTATAGTACTATTCAGATGTTCTGTTGTTATGTGTGAGATGGGCTATAGCACAAACATGTTCATGTTGGGAAGTTGACAAGTCACGAAACATAAATGGTGGGCGACAACCCGGACTAGATAGATCAAAGTAAGGCAGTGGAGCAACGTTTATAAGGGTAATGCCTGATCCAGTATTGACCTCCGCTTGGCTGCGCCAACGGGTATGGAATCTCACCGTTTTCTACAAGAATCCGCTGAGGTTGACAGTTACAATGTTTCTCTTTAATTCGTTCTGGAGTGTCGCAATGCTTGCTGACGGAAAGGACTAGGTCTTCGGTGATACCAGCGTCGCCCCAGATGCGCGTATCTATTGCAATTCGTTCCTCGATCCATGGGTGTAGCTCGCACGTGTCTATTTTTTCTTGCTGAGTGCTTCTGACCCAGCCCTGCATCATTGCTGCTATGAAGAGCAGCCGCAAGCCAAATTGGATGGGCCATCTAAGCTCTGCCATAGGCTCTAAGTGGCAATTTCCTACAACTTGTAAAATTGCTTCCCTTAAGAAGTCTTCATGAAGTTAACCATGAACGCGTGCAAGAAGGCGAATGTCCATGTGCTGGTCCGTGCAACCGTTTCCGTTGAACTGCGGTCGGTTTAATTGTATATGTATAGGCAAGCTGGCTAGCGGGCCCCTCTGTTGACCCTTTCTCCTTGAGTTTGAGCATTGCTTACGTGATGCAACATCGAGACCACCAAGAGTAAACAAACCTATCTGCGCCCGCTCATCTTCTCATTCAGTACAAGAAGGCAAGGCGTGATCGGAAGGTATAAAGAACATCACCTGCTATAAGATACGTGCAGACCACGCGATGGTTTACAGCATTACAGGACCTGACGGCGCTCGCTGAGTGCTGAATAATTCAAGTCTTAGCGGCATGCGCAGTCCATCTCATCATCAGCTCAGAGTTCACCACAGTGGCCTATGCTGCCCTCTACAGTCCCGGCCCCTACGCACGCGTGGGACTCCAATAACATGGCAGGATCCAGAACCGTGCTGGCGAAACCAAACAAACAGCTGCCACGCAGCCACCCTCCATCACTGGTTCCCTACATCGCCATCCTCCATTACGGTGGTTTCATTAATGCAGGTATACCGGTACCGGTACACACGGTAACGCACGAAGGGAAAGCCACAGCTCCTGAAGCCCAACTAACACAGCAACACTGCCATCGAGCATACCAAGCCCAGCCGCCTAAGAGCCCGGCTCCACCATACCTGACCACAAACATCCCCCTCACCGTGTCACCCTAACCCACAGGCCTGGAATCCTTCACCCCAAGGCAGCTGTAGGTCACGCCTGCACTCCTTTCTCACACGAGCCTCCCATGACGACCTCCTCCGCCTGCTTGACACTGACGACACCTGCTGCTGCTGAATGCACTACCGGAATTGCCGCCGGTCCCCTCATCCTTTCCGTGTTTCCTCCCTGCTACACCCCACTCCTGCTAACGGTGCCCCCGCCGCCGTCTCTGCCTCCGCTGATGTTGCTTCTGCCCTCCCTCCTCCCCCTCCTCCTCTTTCATCAACCGCTGCTGCCCCTCCCCCCGCAGCCCCTCCACGAACAGGTCGTCTCGCGGCCAGTGCAGCGGGTCCTCATGTAGCGTGCGCAGCTCGGCGAGGCGGGAGGTGACCCGTGGGTCGGAGGGGTCGGAGGGCGCGTAGCGGTCCAACACCTCGGCGTAGCTGGCAGAGGGCAGGCAGGCAGGGAAAGGGAGGGAGGGAATGAAAGGGGAGGGGTTGGAAGGTTGGCAGTGCAACAGCAGGGGGTCAAGGGGAACAGCGGGGTGGGAGAGAGCGCGTGGCAGCACGGCAGAATGTAAAGGAAAGCGAGGAGCCGCCAGCACGTATGCGATCTCATCATGCCACCACGTGGTGCGTGAGCTGTTATCAAATGCTTCTCGGGGGCGGTGCCCACAGCATTAGCACTCATTAGAGTAGCTACAGACCGGCGCATTCAGAGCTTGGTGGGGAGACGGGCGCGTCCGGCCGGCCTTACTTGCAAGTCTCGTTGGTCCTGTCAAAGCTCTGCATGAAGCGCAGTTCATCCGCCAGAGGGACGCACAACTGCCGCCGGCTGCAGCTGATGGGGTACCTGGGAGCGAGCGAGGGGGAGGAGGAGGGGAGGGAGCAGGTGAGGCGAGGGAAGGGGAGGAGAGGGGAGCAGGGGAGGAATAGGTTGCAAAAGAGTTGGGTGGGGTAAAGCCAGGCTGAGCGGGACGGGTGGAGCATGTGGGAGGGGGAAGTTGTTTGGTACGTGCCGCAGTGTGCGTGCGTCTACATGTACTGTACGCCTTACCGTCGCCGGCCCCCCTCCTGCCGCTCCGCTCACCTGTACTGCGCTGCCAGGTGTGTGAGCAGCCGAAAGAGGTAGCAGAGCCGGGCTGGGCGGCTGAGGTGGGTGCGCGCGAACTGCTGAGCAGCGGCGGCGATGTGGCGGGCTTGCGGGTCGTGCGCACGACACCACTGCACGGCCTGGCAGGCAGCAGGAGAGAGATGGGGGGAACAAGGGGGAGTTTAGGTAGAGGTCCAGTAAAAGAATTGGGAGGAAAAGAGGGAGGGCGGGGGGCCAGGGATGGGTGGAAGGGCAGCAGAGCGAAGACCCCAGTAGTTGCCCGGGGGTTCAGCATGAGTGGAGTGCATGCTACCCATTAGAGGCTGGTGACATGCCCCATTGCATGCGTACCCACGCGCCATTAGCGGCTGGCTGGTGACATGCAGCGAGGGCGACATGCTGCAGACCCCTACCGCGGTGCGTCGCTGCACTGCTACTCCCCCCTTACCTCAACCACATCGTCCTGGTGTTTGACCATGAAGGGCACGTAGTGTTCATATGCCTTTATCGCATCGTAGTAGAAGCCATCGCGGATGGAGGCGGCCTGCGCGTGGAAAAGGGGGTGGGGGTAAAGACGAAGAAACTAACCAACCGTATGGCATGTAGGCTTGTGACCATGGCTTCCATGGGCTGTGACATGGTAGGGAGGAGGAAGCGCGGAGGTCAGGTATCGGGTGGAGAGGGGCAAGTGGGAAGGACCATGGCTGGGGCCAGGCAAGCGGCAGTGGAAGGGCGAGGACGTGGGTGGGTAGGATCTGTGTCCTTCTCTCTCCTCCAGTTCCGGATCTTTCTCCCCCTCAGTTCTCGCTGGCTGGCTGGCTGGCTGGCTTGCTGGCTGGTTGGCTCCCTCGTCTCCTTGGCGCACCTTGAGTACGGCGGACCCCAGCAGCAGGTACTTGTCGAACTTGGAGCTGATGGACCAGCCTGGTGGGGGTGCGGGGGGGGCCAAAGAGGGCAAAGAGGTAACACCCAAGCAACCGTATGGAAAAGGGCTTCATCCTGGTTTGCAACATGATGCTGGGGGAGGGGGGCGGGGATCGCTCCTCTCCTCTCCCTCGCACACCCACGCCCCACCCACACCCACCATCCGTGGACACCAGGTACTTGTGCGCGTTCTGGTGCGCCAGCGGCACGGGTCGCGCGCGGCCCAGATCGTAGGCATCCAGCAGCTGGGGGTGCGAGTCGGACAGGGTGTTCAGGTGCAGGCGGGGGCAGGGCGCGGGCCGACCGTCGTCGGTTCTCAGCCGCCCGCCCCTGCTGCCCGGCGGCCACGTGTAGTAGTAGGTACAGAACCCGTTCCAGCGGCCAAATGCGACCTGGGGGCCGGAGGGAGGCGGGAGGGGGGGAAGGGGGCGCGATGGTATGAAGGGGAAAAGGACGCGGAGGAAGGTACGGCAGCAACAGGCTGTTGCAAGCGTGGCAAGTAGGCGTCACACCCCGCTCCATCCCACATGCCACCCGCTACCCACCTCCTTGCGCTGCTCCCAGGGAACGCTGTCCAGCTGCGTCAACTGCGACTCCAATGCGTCAAAGCTGTCCGTAGCGCACCTGGGGGAGGGGGGGGAGCGTGACCGGGGACGGCAGGTGAGGCGAGGTGAGGCCCATGCAACCCAACCCATGCAGGGATGCAGCGTGCATTCGAACACTCGACATGGGAAGCAACCTCGCATGAGGCAAACCTCCTGCGCGCCATGTCCGCATGCTTGCACCCTCCGCCGCCTTGTCACACGGTCAGCTAGTGTTTCCCCCCTCGCTCCTCGCCTCTTCCCAATCTCCCACCTGAATGCGCCGCTGTACGGCACCATGAGCACTCCGTTGTCAGCGGACTTGCTCCATGCAACCATGGGCGGCAGGCCCCCCTCGGGCGGGTAGGGCCAGGCGGTTCTGGGGGGCCCGCTGCCCTCCCCGCCGGGGGGCGGACCCTTCAGGTCTAGTTCGCCGGGGGGGTGGTCATCTGAGTGCGCGCGCATGGGACGGGGCACGGTGGCAGGGTGGCAGGGTCGCGTGGGGCAAGGAAGGAGGTACGTAAGTTTTTCACGGGTGGTAGGTAGCAAGGGAGGGAAGGGTGGCGGCCGTTGCTAGGCTAAGGGTTTGTTTTCCTGTTCAACGACCATACCGAGGGCGGCAGTGCTGTCCCGGGGAGTCTTGTGCCCTTTCCCCCTCCCCCTTCTATCCCCTGCCAGCCCAGCCTGCCGGCCAACCCGCACCTCACCTAGCCAGTACGTGAACTCCACATTCGGAAGCCTGTGGGGAGGAAATAGGGTGGAGCGGGGAAGGGTGAGGTCAGGAGATGGTGGAGAGGAGAGGGAGCAAACGGCCTGAGGGTGGATCGGTGCAGGCTCGCTCAGACGAGCAAAAGGAGTGGGAATTGTGCGAATGCATAGGGTGAAATGGCAGTAGGAAGCAATGCATTTGCCCTACTTGTAGACTTGGCTTGCTTCATACAGCTCCACGAGCAGCCCGATGTGTTCATGCGGCCCCAGCCGATGCGATGGAATTAGGTTGTTCAAGTAGACAGTACCTGCATGCATACAAGCATCAAGGTGTGGAGAAAGCTGCAGAGGTTGCATGTATGCGGTCTTTAACTTGCAACTAGGGTGAGCTGACAAGGTAAGGGAGGGATGACAAGATGGAGTCAAAGCTTAGGTTAGGCAACTCGCCGTCGTTAGGTGCGAGGTATGAATACTGCTAGGCTTGGCACACTGAAGCAAGCCCATGGCCAGGCAAGTTTCGGCATGCTTGCAGCCGCTGCTTGCACCTGTCCATTCGAAAGAGCTAAAAAGGGACGCACCGTTTTCTATTAGGATCCGCTGCGGATGACAGTTGCAGTGATTCTCTGTAATACGCTCCGGCGTCAAACAGAATTTGCTGACGGAGAGGACTAAGTCTTCTGTGATGCCTTTACTTCCCCAAATACGTGCATCTTTCGCGATGCGCTCTTCTATTTTAGGATGCAGCTCACAATGCTCTAGCTTTTCTCCCTGCTGCTGGGCCAAGCCTTCCCTGAATCGCAACAGGGCCAGCAAAAGCAGCGGTAGTCTGGACAAAAGGAGCGATCTGCGGTTAGCCATTAGCCACATATTCGCCCTCTCCACCTACGGCTAAACGTTGCAAGACAAGATTGCTAGGCCACCAGAGGAGCGATTCTGGTGCCGTCGTGTCTGTTACAAACCGTTGACAGCAACATGTCGGTTGCTGTGGCCTTGTGGAGCACACATGCGAACCTTGCGACTCCGGGCGACAGCGGCACGTGAACCTCTGTTACTTCGGATGAACTTCAAGGCTGCACGTTATGTTGCTAGCCCTTTTCACTGAGCCGTCAGCCGTCAGGCGATTACGGTATTTGCTTACGTCGCGCGCATCCACTCGCTTTTGGGCCCGGTGGACTAAAGTTGAGGATCCTAGCCAGCCACTGTGCAGAACAGATGTGAAGCTTGCGACCCGCACCGTACCATACTCGGTTAACATTGACAGGCATGGCAGCATCACATCAGCAACCAAACACATCTCTAAACTACTAAGAGCTGCTTTCAAGCGACGAGCTACAAAAGCTGACAGGCCCCAACGGATCAGCTACGCAATTCATGACACCGCATCGTAGTAGCCTAACGTGCCTGGCAATGCCCGCATTGGTTAAACTGGTACGGACCATGCCGCCAGTGCTGCCGTCTCCTTCTCGCAAGGAGTGTACGGCAGTACCGGTCGAAGGCACCGACCTCCTTGTATCCGTACATGTTCCCCACGTACCCAGTCGTACTCATGACACCTGCCGTACCCACACATACACAAGCATCCGAGTACCGTCAAGTAATCTTTATGCAAGATTGCATAAGGAAATCGTTAGAACACACACGTGCAAGCATCCAGCACGCCAGAACCATCCATAGCTACAGAAAAGAAGAGATAAAAGAAGTCCAGGATAAGAGAGGAGAAACATGAAGAAAGAAGGAATGCGGTCATCGACATTTGGTCTGACCCCCAACTGAGTACTGTTGGAGTGCCCTTCACACGCACACAGGGCCCAGAGCAGTAGGCAGTAGCATCGGATGCAGCAATAGTGGCACCGCCATCCAGGTGCCTATCCGGCTCCGCTACCACCGTGCACCTAGACCCGTCGCCCCACTCCCCACACCACCCTACTCGTACTCGTAGCAGAGATGTATGGGTTTGTTTCCTATCTATTAATGAATTTACTGCTAGTATCCTACTGCTACTCGCGCTTGCCCACCAAGCCAAAGCCAAAACATGCTTCGCAAGAATAGAGTGGTATTGAAGCATCTACGCATACACACAGCCATTTTCTACCGAAACCAACGTGCATGTAAACCGGTACCCACAGGTGTTGTCAATACCTGCTTGGTTGACAACACAGAAGGGTAGTCCTCCTGAACCTTCCTCCGCTTGTGACCCGCGGGTCGCCGTCAGCCACCACTAACATCGAAAGTAACACTCACATCGTCGTGACAAACAATAATCCAGCTGTCAACTACCGATATGTCTCACGTGACGCCCTGCCCTGTCCTCTCGTGTATATCTAGGTGCCCACAGGTGTTGCAAATACCTGCAATTCCCTGCTGTGCGTACATCGAATGCTACTATAGATAATCAATAATCAGCCAGCAAAGGCAACACGAGTGCACCAATGCTCGAATCCGTGTTGCATCGCTACACGGCCTAACTACCGTACTATAGCTATTATTACTGCCGCCCCTGCTACCCTGTACTTACCCAGCTCTAGATCCCCATACCAAACTGTACGACAACATACCGTACCATGTCATAGAGTAAAGGCACATGCATCTCTGTACGAACAAACATGACTGACGGCGCACGCATCACCGTACGTACGGCATCACCGTACACCTGCTGTACGGCGCGGAAGCCACGTCATCAGCAGTTCCACCTTCACCGCCGCTCGAGGCAACATGCCTCTCGCCAGCGCTAACTTAAGATTGTCGTACACCCCCCCTCCGGCTGCACCGCTTCCTCCTCCGTCAATGTACGACATGAGAACAGGATTGAGTTCAGCGTCGTCGTCGTCTTCATCGTCATCCTCATCCTCATCATCATCGCCCCCGCCCCCGTAGCTCCCACCAACTCTGTGGCCTTCCCAGCTACCCGCGTTGCTGCTGTTACGGCTGCCGCTGGGGGTACTGCTGCAGGGGGCTCCCGCCTGTGCCATGGCAAGCAGCGCCTCCGCTGCCGCCACCACCGCGCGCATGTCAGGACCCCCGCAACTGCCCCCCAGCTCGGCAACCAGAGCGGACAGCGGCACGGCTGCACCGGCGGAGAACACCGCCTGAGCTAGCGACACGTCCTGATGAGGGGAAAACAAGAATTCCAAGTTGGTGCGGAGCGGGTTTGTGTACTGGATGCAACTACAGCACTCATCCAACGTTACCGGCATCGGTAAGGTGTCTGTAAGCGGGTTTCAATGGTGAAACCCATGAAAACCACAGAAGCAGGGAGGATGCAAAGCCCATGCAAGAAGAAACCAAAGCACAGCCGCAACAACAAACCTCCAACCCCACACCCCTACCTTCACGGCTAGGTAGCTCAGTGCCAGGGCGGCACAGCGCCGGACCTCCAGCGGCTGAGGCTGACGCTCCTCGGTGTCGCTGCCGCCTGACCCCCTGCTGCTGCCTCCTGCTCCACCCGCACTGCCGCCGCTGCCCCCCGGTGGCGGCGGCGGCAGCATGAGGCGCACCAGCGGCCGCAGCAGGTCCGCATGCACCAGGGCGGCAGCCTGGGCCTGAGACAGGGGGGAGGTGGTGGTGGCGGCGGTGGGGGTGAGAATGAGGAAACGGACGAGGAAACTGACGAGCTGATAATGGTGGGGGGGATGGGAAAAAGGAAAGGTGTGAAACCACACTACGGGTCAAGCTAACCCAGCTCCGGACTTGCCATAGATCCAACACAGGGTGGAGAAGGGAGGCGTTGGAGAAGCTCGCTCGGCATGCGCGCTACCAAGTCCCACAAACCTCTCACGGGGGCGCTTGGTCCCCCTTCCTAAAGGTCGTGCTGAACCACGCCCCCCGACGGCCTCAGTCCCCATCTCCACCTCCCCCCCCCGCCGAACCTCCTCCCGTCGCCCTCACCAGCAATCCATGCGCTGCAATGTTGCCTGCTGCTGCGCACACCTCCAGCACCACCGCCTCAACACCCTCCAGTACCACCTCCTCAGCAGCCCCCTCCGCCTCCCTCTCGTCTCCTCCCTCGCAACCCGGGGACGCCGGTTGCCTGCCTAGCTGCTGCTGGCTCCTGTCCTGCTGCCCCTGCCCCTGCCGCTGCTGCGCCTGCTGGCCCTGCTGCTGCTCCTCCTCCTCACAGCCAAGGGAACCGACCTGCAGCACCGGCAGCAGCAGCTGCTGCATCATAAGCGGCCTAAAGGCGCCTTGGAGCGCTCCCGCGCCCAGCACCGCCTGCACGTATTGCATATTTGCATTGCACCGCATCGTATTGCATGGAGGCAACGCAATGGGGGTACTAGCAGTGAGTTTGTAAAACAACAAAGAAAGAGAGGGGTTGCGCGCGCGCCGCCACCCGCCACACAACAACAACAAGCACCGCCGCAGACCCCGCACCTGCACGAGCTTCTGGCCACCCGTCTCACAGAGCGTCGATAGCAAGTGAGCCGCCCGCTGAGGCAGCTCCCAGCCGACATGGCAGCAGCGGGCTTCACCCTCCTCTCCGATAGCAGTGCCGCCTACACCCGCCCCTCCGCCTCCTCCTCCGCTGATACTGCTGCTGCGACTCCCTTCTCCGTAGCTAGCAATGCTTCCATCGCTGCTGGCCCCGCGAGGCAGGCCGCAGTAGCTGTTGTTGTCGCCGCCGCTGCCGCTGCAGCCCATGCCAGCCATGCCACTCATGCTGCTGCTGGCACTGCTGCCGCCGCCGGTGCTGCTGCCGATCGCACTACCCTGATGCGCGACGCCGCCAGCGGTATCCGAAGAGGAAGATGAGGAGGAGGAGAACAAGTCGCCGAGGGAACGGGAAAAGAGGGCGAGGGTCTTGGCAGCCGCCGCCACCACCCCCTCCGGCACGCCCTCCGCCACCACCCCCTCCGGACAATCCTCGGCTGCTAACGCCAGTGCTGCCATCAGGTCACAACAGGCCCCGCAGCACGAGGAAGAAGACGAGGAGGCGCAACACAAGGGGCGCCGTGTACCGTCCGTTATCCCCTGCAACCTCCTAGGACGCTGCCGCCGCCACGTCCCCTGCTGCTGCTGCTGCTCTGGCTGCCCATGCAAGGAGAAGCCGGCATCCCCAGCAGCATCAACACCCTCCTTGGGCGCTGGCTCCAGGGCCTTGTCGCCATCGTCGCCATCAGCGTCGTCATCCCCGCAGCTGCCGCCGTTGCAACCATCACCACCGCCTGCTGCAGCACCACCGGCCGCAGTTCTCCTCCCGACTGCACCTGCACCTGCTGCTGCTGCGATGCCGTGGTGGTGGCGGTGACGGCACTGGCGGCGGTGGCAGTGCGGAGCGGCTCGCAGCAGCAGCTGGGAGAGCGAGGGCAGCAACTCCCGCTGGGGGCACAGGTAGAGCGTGGCAGAAGCAGCAACAGCAGCAGCAGCAGCAAGAGGAGGAAGGCAGTCGGGAGTCGAGGGTGCCAGCAGCATTGTCAGAAGACAACGCGGAGTAATTGCCAAGGCATAAGGAGACAGAGCGGTGTTAAGAAATGGATGCGAAGAAGTCGCATGGCTATCACATGGTTGCACTTTTACGGTCCTGGGCTGCACCCGTGTGTCTTATACACACAATCCCAACGCTGCTATGACTATGTCCCCACACGCAAACAAACACACCCCAAGCAGCTCGAATCACTCAACCCCTCACCCACCGACTCACGCACTCAACACATAACAGATGATGAGGATGATGTTTACTTAAGATCCTCCTAAGGATATTAAGACCACCCTTGTCGTACGGTTCGTTACTTACTTCCTCTTTACTCGTTACTTTCCTCCTCACCACTCACCGACACAGAGCAGTCTCGAGGCTTGGAGGCTAGCAGCATCAGGGCCAGACGAGCGAGCTGTCGTACGGGAGGCGGGCCGCGAGGGGGCGCGGGCGAGGGAGGCGGAGGCGAGGGCACGGGAAGAGGCGTAGAAGCCCTGGAGGTGGTAGGGTGTACCACTGCTGAGAAGGGCCGCGCTTGCTGCTGTTGCTGCTGCTGCCGTTGCTGCTGTTGCTGGTAGTGGTAATGGCGATGATGCCAGGGAAGGGCAAGAGGAGAAGGAGGAGGCGATAAAGGAGAGGACGGGGAAGTCAAGTAGGGTCGCTGCTGCTGTTGTAACAGAGCGGCAGGCGTCGGGGAAGTGGGGGAGGTTAGGGGCGAGGGGGGAGGTGACACCAGGAGGAGTGGGGAGGGAGCCCGGGCTGCGGCTTGCTGGGGTTGCTGGTGCTGCTGCTGGTACGAGGCAGAAAGAGGCCGCGAAGGGGGCAGCAGCTGCTGCTGCAGCTGGTTTACTAGCAGCCTTGGAAGAAGCAACGGCGCCGGCGGCGGTGGTGGTGGTGATGTTGCCTGCTGTGCCCTTGTCTTTTGGTCCTGTTGCTGCTGCTGTAGTGCCAGTGCGGAAAGTGGCCGCACCGTTGCTGGGTAGGCTTGCTGGAGCTGCTGCTGTTGCTGCATGGCTGAGCTGGGAGAAAGCGGCGTCCCAGAGGACCCGGGCGCGAGCCGCTGCACAGGAGGAGTGAGGCAGCGGGCAGCGGCTGAAAGCAGCGCTGGCAGTACCCCCGCTTGCAGGCAGGCGTCACGGGGCCCTGGAGGGGGGTGGAAACGAGAAACGGACTTTCTGGAGGAGTTGTTCGTACTTGTTCGTACTTTACGCAATCTTTCACGCGCGCCACAGTGCATCTACACATGCTGCCCTGCGCGGGCCTTGGCATATTATGCCAGGCTAGAACCTGTGTCAATACGCCAGAGACATGGCCCAATGCCAGAGGCGTGGCCCAATGCCAGAGGCATGGTCAGCGCCTTTGGCGAAACGGCGCATGTCTTACAGATTGCCGCCACTATCCTGAATAGCACGGTGCTACCCTCTCAGCCCGGAAGCACGGTTGTCTCATTTGCCCTAACCATGGGTACCCCTTTCATCGTGCCCACTGACGCATGCGGCTCAGACCCCTTTCATTCTGACGCTCTCATGTGACGCACCTACACCGTAGCTTGCAACGTTGCCCAGCAGCCGTGCCGCCTGGGAGGAGGCGGTTTCGGGGAGCGTGAAAGGGGAGGCGGGGCCATGAAAGAGAGGTAAAAGAGTGCATGTGCATCCAGGCCGGCGAGGGACACAGGGCTGGCGAAGACAGCGGCGTAAGCTTTACGCCCCTGCCTTTTTTACCCACATCAGCCTTTGCACGGCCTTACCCCATGCAGCGCCCAGCCCTCTTCTTACCTCTTCCCGCAGTTCAGTTGCCTCGTCAGGCTCTGAGGCCTCGTCCTCCTCCGGCTGTAGCAACGCCACTGCTGCGTCCAGCGCGCCAGCTGCTACGACCGCCGCACAGAGGCGAGCCCCGCCGCTCCAAACAAGAAGGGCCACCGCCCGAGTTGCCTCCAGCTGTGGAATATTCACGCAACGTATCCACAGTGAGGTGGGATGAGGTGTTGGTTACTTGTTGGTCTGGGTTGATTCTCGGGGGCTGAGCTTTAGCCGGAGTTTGCTATGAAGGCCTAAACGAGGCGTAAAGAGGGAAACTCAAACACCAATGTCGTACGCATTGAAAGGCTTCATGGCCTGAGCGAGGGAAGCACAGCAGCTTCTGGACCTGGGGTTGTCCACCCCACAGCTTAGGTCGAAGCCTTTTTTCTCCCCCAAATGGGGAGGGGAGAAGACATGTCACGCGCGTTACCCTGTGTTAGCATAAGGCAAGACCTGCCAACACTCGAGCAAAACCCGCCCACCTGCAGTTTTGGGGTGTCCCAGACTCCCATAAAGAGCACCATGCGAGGGAGAGCGGCCGCAGCTGCTGCCAACACGTTATCGGGCGGGGGCTCGAACCCTGATTGGGGAATAATAAAGCAGGCTGAATGGACATACAATATATAGAGCTACAAGGCTTTGTCGGAGAGAACTCCGTGGGTGACCATCGACACTGCGGGGCCTACAGTGTAACATTTCCTGGCTGCGAGGAAGGTAACTTTGCAGTCCGTAGGGTACCTGGCGCCCTCTGAGAGTAAGGGAAATGGAACGTGTATACTTTGCTTTTGCGCTAGCCGTTCCCTGGCGTATACCGCAGACTTACCATAGCTTAACCCCTTGCGAACGGCTATAACAGCCCCAAGCCACTGTAACTTGTCGTTAGCTTTGATGGCGACCACAGCCGACTCCAAGTCCCTTAAGCCAAAACTACGAGGACCTGTCCAACCCGTAAATCAAAGCATAGAAACAAATCGGAGGGTTTTCGGACAAGCGGTGGAGTTTCGGGACCTAACATGGCAGTTGGTCCAGGTTGGTCACGCTAAATTTCAGCGCAACGAAACGCAAACTTACGAGGTTCAAGGAGGCCACGGAGGTCGGTAGGAACGTATATGCTGCATAGTGTCGCGAAGACCGGGGTCTTTGCGTCTTCCTGAGCGCGCTGGCTGTTGCGAGCGGACACACCACGCCAGGTCTTAAAGGCCGGACAACCCGGATTGGGTGCGGCCATGTTCTTAGAGAGCCAACTCCTCCAGACTAGCCGCCAGGTTTCCCAGGTGCGGTAGAATGAACGCAACGGTGCTCTGTTTTACAAGGTCCAGCGCTCTGGTACTGGACTATCTATATCCGTATAAACAGGAAGAGTACTGGTGTTCCAAAGTAAGCATCTCTCCGGGTAGCTATCTACTAGGCTCCGATGCACAGACCTCTGTAAGCTTGCAATTGTGCATTGCAAGGAATAGTGTACCGGTGGCCTCGCTAGGAGTAAGAAGTTACATTCCAAACCTTTTGGAGCCTTGAAACAAACTTGTGCGGTAGCCATGCAAGAGGCCGTACGGGCGGTCCTGGCAGGACACGTGACAAGGCGACACCCCGAGGATCAAGCATAAATACCATACCCTTGCCGTCATATCAGTTTGCACCCGGGACCCACGATACGGGTCTTCCCATGAAACAACTTACGCGACAGCAGTCAAGGTGGCGGGGCGTTTAGCGCTCCCAGGTTCCTTGGCCGCCAGAGCTCCCGCACCTGGGATCCTCATCCAATGAAGAGCAGAGCGCGGGAAGAGGAGTTGGCCACTGCCTGCAGGAGCCGGTCGCGATACCCAAGGATTTGCGGTGTTCTAGCCCCCACGACATGTCGCTGCGCTTTGACCAAGGTTTGACCATTGACATGCAAGCTTTGACCGCTTACATTTGGAATTACGTCGCTGCATCCCCAGGGCCTTTGCCAACCATTGGTGGGGTACAGGGAATGGTTCGATGGCGGCGCTTAACCCGCCAAGTAGAACTGCGCAAGGTACCGGTAGAATCGATTAACGGTTGCACCTGGTTGCAGCCTTAGGAAAGCGGATTCGATTAAAAACCCGTACAGGTGCCGTATCCTATTCACCAAATGCACTTATGAACCCAAACAAAGCACCGTTCCCCAACAATTAAGACCCTCCAGACAGTCCCCGACATGTTGGGTGGCAGCCCATCCGCCAATGCAGCCAAGTAAGTCCCAAATCGGGCACGCGCTGTGCTAATGGCATCCTTGCAGAACCCTACGTCACGTCATCCCACAAGACGCGATTGCTGTACCAGATCATGAACGACTAGCGTGGCCGTACCATCAAGGAACCAGGTGCATAGAGCAACACCCTCTCCCTAATCAGGGCAACCCAGATGCAACAACTGGGAGGTAACTCCCAAGTATCCTCAAAGCTATTCAAATACTTTTTCTCTCACTACGCCACACTTGGAGCCGGCATTCCAGGCCCCGCCAAACTAAATCTCACAGTGCCGGGAGAACGCTGGTGCCCCGGGAGAACGCTGGTGCCCCACACAAAGTACATGCAAGACCGACAACCCTTGTACAAGGGATTTGGACTGCGTAGTAGTAGATATGACGGCCAACCAGCAGATGAGCAGACAATGCGCCAAACGCCAACCTACCAGCTACCCGCCCAAACCGTGACCCCTCACGCCTAGTCAAGTGCAGCGCCAAGGGCTGGAGTCCAGTTGGAAAAGGTCATAAGACAGAAGTTCTTCTACCAAAACCGTTGCCAAGAACCTAAAGCAGACAGCAATTTCTCTCACACCATGCTCTCAAAAGTGAAGAAAAGTTCGCGCACTCAACGAAATATGCAATCCAGTACCTGCCAGTACCTTACTCATCTCCGGTTTCTAAGCCACTGTCGGGCAACAGTTATGTACGTACTTGGATCATCACCTCCTTGCAATGCTGAAATTGATGTGTGATACCGGTCACCCAATTCACAGTGCATGACGTACGTACGGAGAGCGCCAGATCCAGAATACGTGCAACTAACCGATAATATCATCAAGAAGATTTGCCGTAGCACCCCAACGCATGGAGGCCCATACCTGCAGGCACTTGGCGGCACTACGTATTCACTCTGGGTTATCTTACGAAGCAGCTGCCAATCAATCTTGTGTTCGCTATGTGTGCCAGCGATATCCCTTAAAGGGCTCTGCCTCCTGGGAAACGCTGTTTACGGCCTCGAGCGACTGCTTCAACTGAGCGTATTCAGCCTTTGTCTGCAATGTGGTGTACGGCAATAGGGAATTTTAAATGCGGTTACTAACCATCAAAACCTGCTAAGCTAACCGTCGGTCAGCTCAGTTGTGCAAAATCCGTTTCAGGGACAAAATGCACGAAAATTCATTAAGACAGACAACAATGGGCACCTCTAGACAGAATGGCAGGGCTTTGTCTATCGTCTACCGTACCCAGACCTATTGGAGCCTTCACCTATGGTGCAGACCCTGCTATATATCATCAAAATCCCATCACAACGTTGTGCGTACCGACCAGTTGCCAGTCGTCCTCTGCTGGCCTTGTTGTGGCTTGGCCTTTTACGAATGATAGCGCAGACCTCGCAGCTGAATGTGACAGTCCAGACCTCCCAAGGATGCCGCCTATGTGGGACAAAGCAGCTTGTCGGTCCAAATGCGCCTCCTGCCCAGCGCCCGTTGAAACCTCGTGATTCGCGGCGGGAGTCCCAGATGCAGCTAGGACTGAGAGCGCGAGAACTGTAGCTTCTTTATGCTTGTGAAGTATGAGCGTATCTGGGGGCGTCCACACACAGGTGATGGGAGGCGGTCAAAGAACAGGTTAAGGGTCAATTACCCTATAGCCCCTATATAATTCACGAATTGGTATGTTGCCTCTCCGTGGCGGCGCAGACGTCATTGACAAGTAGATAGGGTTTTACGAGGAAAATGTCGGCCAGTCTTACGGTGATAAGCAAGAATACTCCAGGTCATGATAGCGCCGGCTAGAAACGCTATAAACATTTTGGACATGTTCGCCTTGGAAGGCATTATCAAGGCGTCCCCGTTCATTAGCTTATAACAGTAGGCTACAGTAAGTCAGGGTGTTTGGTGGAACACAAAAGTAAGTCAGGAGCGCGTCAGAAGTGTATATAGAAAGCCTGTATCCATCACAAGTAGCGTAATGGATACTGGCGTTATGTATACACTAAAATGCCGTACATGGTTGATAGCATCGTAACCTCTTGCTCCACTGAGCGTAGGCAATTGCAGTGAAGCAAAGGGAACGGTGTTGTAAATGGAGCAGCAGTTGTAGTCCATGCAAGCAGGTGAAACGGTTTGCGCCGGCATGCTCCATGCAAGTCACGTACCTCACGTTCCCCAGGACATCTACGTGCCTTTACGCCTCGTAGCCATTTGCCAATGCCCTCTTAGGACTTCCGCTTACGTTGAGCGTGTATGCGACGTTAACACCATCCCGCCATAGTAGACAGGAAATTACGAGTATTCTCTCGTGCTAGCCCAAGCTAACGCGTCATTTGCCGAGCCAAACATCTAAACGTCATATGGCTGCGCTGTTAGCATGTCAGCAACAACTCAAATAGTAATTAGGAATTACTCATGCAATCTGGTCCCGTGCAAAGTTGCGGCGGTACTTTCCTCAGCCAACGCTAGACAGCCCCCGCCCAGCCCATCACAAAGGCTATCCAGGCTTGGCCGTATTGTCAGGAAGCAGCAGCTCAACCATCTGAAGCAAGTCGAAGGACGAGCCCATGGGTTGACAGCTTGGGGTACCCCAAAGCGGCCGGGCCATCCGGGACCCGCGGGCAGGCACTCCTACTTAGGCAAGACGGCCCGTTGGGCCCCGGTCGCCCTCTGAACGCACAGTCGGAATGTAAGCCATACGAGACTGCCGGGAAGCACTTCATCGCATCCAACCGGTAACGTCACCCTACGTGACCCCACACTGAAGGAGGAGCGCTATGTCGAGTGGGTAGCTGAGGCGTGTAACCATCAGTTAAGAAGCGTACGGTTGATTTTGTACCGCAACCCTGCCTTCGCGTCCATATGAGGTGCATGGTGTGCGGGAATGATCGATCAGGCACTTTTGCATTGCATGCTTGGCGACAAGGATATTGTTAAACGGGTCCTCAGCAACAGGTAATGCCTTGCTTGTAAGTTGTCCCCTCTGTTTCTCCGAGCGCTTCGTGTTAACAGGGACACAGCACGCGCACACGAGCCAGCAAACGTCGTAGTCATAACACTCCAGGAACTCTTCGACATGAGCTGCAGCAAAAAGGCATGCATGCCTCCCACGCTTTAAACATATGCACTTCCGGAACCTTTCAAAGCGCCTTTCCTTCGTGCACAGACCACGCCACGTAGCGCACATAATGCTCCCCATCGCTCGGCTACATGACAACAGGCATGTTCCTAGACCCCTGGAGTTTAGTAAGCACGATAAAGCAAGAAAGCGCGTTTACATCGGAACAACGTCGTGTCGTCGTAACCATCCACGCATCAAGTCCGGCGTACCCAAACACGGCCGACGGCCTTTTGACAGAACCCCAAAATTGGCCGTGGATCTCGGATTTCAGAGATCCCGGATTCCGATGTACGACATCTCGCCTCGCCACACGCTGTGTTAACGGTACGGTATATCTTAGCAGCGTCAGCAGAGCTCATGAAAGAGGGATCTGAACGAACCTGTCTAGCCTCATCATCTTTGTCATCTTTGTCCTCCCCACAGAGAACCAAGAAACCGCAGGAGGCACTCGCAGTCTGTCTTCATCGGCTAAGGACCAGCGCCATGATAACGCTTTCTTACCTCCCTCAAGCCAGAAACCACAATCCACAAACCATGAGCCCCGCAGGAATAGTAGCAGCGCCGCACGGATGAGTAAGTCCGCTACATCCTCCAGACATGCACAGCTAATCCCTACCCGCATGCATGCCTCAACACTCCCATCCAAACGTACCGGTACCCCTCACGTCACCTCTCCCCAAACGTAGAAGAACCCGACCCCCTTGGCTTCCCCTCATCTCATCCCGGAAACGGCTTGGCTCTCTAAGCAGCGAGGCCATCAAGACAAACCGCTAACTGCTACAGCGGCCGCGACGAGAGCCCTGCACAGCAACACACGCGATGAGGCTCAGGGGGCCGACAGTCCCTCTCCCACATGGACACACTTCCCTTGTACCCTTCTCTGTCCCTTAGCTAGAAACCCGTAAACCCCTACTCATACCGCTCTCCCACTGCTACGACTACCCGGTGCCATGTTCTATTACCACTTTACCAGTCTGCGCTCCGCTTTCTTCCCGTCCCTTCGCCCTTTCCAGCTGCCAAGCTCTACCCCCGGCAATAAACCGGGACGACCAACACCTGAACTGATAACTGCCACACACGCAATCTCCCAGCTTTTTCCAGGATCCCCAAAGTGTTCCTCCGTTTGCTGTTTGCTTTTCATTCCTACAATTACGGTAAAGAAAGCCCACAAG